CCCCAGTCTCACCCCACGCGCGGGTCCGTCCGCCGGCCCCAGCCCCTAAGTCCTCTCAACCCGGAGGAGCCCACCAGCGCGCACCCAGCTGGGTCGCCCCGACCCGACCCCGAGTCCAGTGTACCTGTCCGCTTCCTCGCCGTCGCCGAAACCAAGGCAACGCTGGCGGGGGACGGAGAGGAAGGCCGCTGCCGACCTTCGTCTCACCCTCGCCTCACCTTCCCCCACCCGCAAAAATCCAAATGCCACGCCGCGATTAATTAAGCGCGCACCGGACCGGACACATCCATCGACCAAAACCGCGGCTCCTTTCCCCGCGGCCGCACGCATCGCTCGCGTCGCCGGTGTCGCCGTCGCCACTCGCACGCACTCACTGACCGCCAGGCTGAGGCCAATCCAAACCGGGACCAATCCAGACGAACGGTGCTGCGTGCGTTCGCTTTCCCCGAAACGTGACCCGAGCTGCAGAGAGAGAAAGGACAAGGGAGGAGAAGCCTCCATGATGCAGCAGCAGTTGCTGGAGCTGCCCTCCTAGTCGTCCCCGTTAAATCCCTGCTCGCCCAGTCACGAGCACCCGCCCAGTTTCTCTCCTCCCGCCCGCCCCCGGTCCCCGACCCCGACCCAATCCAGATCAGAGATTCCGTTTGTGGCGTTGGCGTTTCCGTGAGGCGAGGCGGGCGGGCGAAGGGCGAAGGCGACCGTCCGGAGCTAGCTTCATGCTCCAGGGGCGGCGGCTTCACCCCGTCGTTTGATGGGCAACGCATGCGGCGGCTCCCTTAGATCCAAGTACCTGCACAGCTTCAAGCACGCCGCGTCGCAGCGCCACGACTCCGAGTACAGCGCCAGCAGCGCCGTCGCCGCCGACGACTCGCCGAGGAAGCAGCCCACGCCGCCCGCCACCACGGACGCCCACGCGCCGGCGCCGGCCGCGCCCGCCGCCGCCGCAGCCATGAGGCGCGGCGGGGCGGGCGCGACGCCCGACCTCGGGTCCGTGCTCGGCCACCCCACCCCCAACCTCCGCGACCTCTACGCGCTCGGCAGGAAGCTCGGGCAGGGGCAGTTCGGCACCACCTACCTCTGCACCGAGCTCGCCACGGGGGTCGACTACGCCTGCAAGTCCATCTCCAAGCGCAAGCTCATCACCAAGGAGGACATCGACGACGTGCGCCGCGAGATCCAGATCATGCACCACCTCTCGGGCCACAAGAACGTCGTCGTTATCAAGGGCGCGTACGAGGACCAGGTCTACGTCCACATCGTCATGGAGCTCTGCGCCGGAGGCGAGCTCTTCGACCGGATCATACAGCGCGGGCACTACAGCGAGCGCAAGGCCGCCGAGCTCACCAGGATCATCGTCGGGGTCGTCGAGGCCTGCCACTCGCTCGGGGTCATGCACCGGGACCTCAAGCCCGAGAACTTCCTGCTCGCCAACAAGGACGATGACCTCTCGCTCAAGGCCATCGATTTCGGACTCTCTGTCTTCTTCAAGCCTGGTAAGCTGCTGCTGCAGAATCGCAAACTTCTTTTGAGTTCTTCCCATTGTGACATATTGTACTGTTTTAGTCAACGGCTGAAACTTGTGCACGGGATGTGTTACTAATCGGTAGCTCGTACAGTTGTGCTTGCGTTAGCTCTGTTTTATTCATGTTCGTAGTCGTAGGAAATGAAATGGATGATTGCAGGTGAAATTCTGTAACAGCAGCTTTTTTGGAGTCATCATGCAACTGAAATTTGGCAACAGAAGGGGTTGAAAAGTACTAGTAAATAATCGGTATTGATTGTTATGTGATGAAAGCTAACGTTGCAATAGCTTAGTTTCACAGGAAATAAATGCAGCTTGCTACTTGCCATTCAAGATTAATAGTGGCAAACACTAATTAATGAGTTTAGTGCCCTAACCTGCTAGGCCCGAAATGCAAGTTCAGCAGGGTGCATTTCTTAGCTGAGTGGCAGTTGAATTATTGGATCTGATGGAAGCTGCCTATTATTCTAATAATAGTGCAATAGTACACAGAACCTTTTTCGCTCCAACTTGTAACCAATTAGGCATGCTATCTGCATCCTTGACACTTTTCGCTTTTCTTGTTCTGTTCTTTCAGGTCAAGTTTTCACCGATGTTGTTGGTAGCCCATATTATGTAGCTCCAGAAGTTTTGCTGAAAAGTTATGGACCAGCAGCTGATGTATGGACAGCTGGTGTCATTCTGTACATTCTACTAAGTGGTGTGCCTCCATTTTGGGCAGGTATGTAGTATTTTGGTATGTTTGCCTTAAGTTCTTTAGGATCTTTAACTTTATCCCTTTTGACCGCATGCTAACATTTTTAATGAATACAATGCAGAAACACAACAAGGAATATTTGATGCTGTATTGAAAGGTGTCATTGATTTTGATTCTGATCCGTGGCCTGTCATATCTGATAGTGCAAAAGATCTTATAAGACGAATGCTGAATCCTTGTGCTGCCGAGCGCTTAACAGCACACGAAGTTCTATGTTAGTTTCTTTCACCATTTTATACTATTGATTTGTTATTTCTCTAACACCGCAATGCATCCATTCACCTGATGTATTTGCAATTGTTGGATAAAAAGATGACACTTGAACTTGTGCACAGGCCATCCATGGATTCGTGATCATGGAGTGGCTCCTGACCGTCCACTGGATCCAGCTGTCTTATCTCGCATTAAGCAATTCTCTGCAATGAATAAGTTGAAGAAAATGGCTTTACGAGTAAGTGCAGTTCTTTTAGGCATGATTTATATGAACTTTGATTCGCAGGTTCAGAAGATAGTACCCCAATAGTTCTTAGCTAATATTCCTTATTTGATTGGACCCTTATTACCTAGTATCGACCAGGAGAGTTGTGTTACATTTTAGATTGCTTGCTTGTGCAACGCTGAACTAATTGACTATATGTGTTCATTCTAATAGGTAATAGCTGAGAGCCTATCAGAAGAGGAAATCGCGGGGTTGAAGGAAATGTTCCAGACCATGGACACTGACAACAGTGGTGCAATTACTTATGATGAGCTAAAAGAAGGATTGAGAAAATATGGCTCCACACTAAAGGACACTGAGATTCGTGACCTTATGGAAGCAGTAAGTTAGCTGAAACCTTTTGGTATGCTTGCTTGTATTTTTAGCTTCAACGACCTGGGTCCTGAAGCTATACATTAAGAATCATAAATATGTGGCTTCATTAAGAATCTAGGCTACAAAGTCAATCAGTTACTTGTTGCAATTTCAACTTATGTATGACCATTTCTCATTACATATTTATGATTAGGATGAGAGCAGTAGACAGCATGGGGTACAACGTACAACTAATATTTCCTCATCTTAAAGCAGCCACCATTTTATGTCTTATAAATCTGTGCTTATGTGCTACAAGACGTGTATGCGTGTTTTTTACTTCAGTGGTCTAGCAACTACGCATTTTTAATTTAGAGGCTGATAAATTGAGCATCACACTTGGCTCACTTCTTATGCCGGAGGCTTTGTAAAAGAGAAGTTATAACACATTGTACCAAAAAAACTTACGTGTTTCTTTTGTTTCGTTTAGGCCGATATTGACAACAGTGGAACAATTGACTATATAGAATTCATTGCTGCAACTTTGCATCTCAATAAGCTGGAGCGCGAGGAACATCTCGTGGCAGCCTTTTCATATTTCGACAAAGATGGTAGTGGCTACATCACAGTGGATGAACTGCAGCAAGCTTGCAAAGAGCATAACATGCCGGATGCTTTTCTTGATGATGTCATCAACGAAGTTGATCAGGACAATGTAAGTCTTACTTTAATTAGGCCACATGCATAAAAGTTATAAAATGGCATATCTTGTTTATTTGTTACTCACCTTCGTTAAACCTATATGAAATGTACAACCAATGCAAGTAGTGTGATGCAATGAAAACACGTACAACTTGCCATTGATCAACATAGTTCATTTGATGCTCAATCAATCAATGTGGCCAATGCTTTCAATTGTAAGGTTATCTCCCTAAGTGTGGGCGCAGCCAGCAAGGGATCAAACACTGGTAGCACCCCAAAAAACGCTCCTCTCTGGTGACCCCAAGAAATAGTGGCAAAGCACCACCCAGTGGTAACAATGCGGCCCTATAGGGGTAGTGGCAGTGGTCGTTTGGCCCTCGTAGATGCAGCCCTATAGGGGTGAAACTGGAGTTCGTGGCTTTCTCTCAATCAGTTTGCCGAGAGCTTAGTGCAATACCATGGGGCGGTCTTTCCTCACCTGCAAAATTTTCATTAATCAATGGTTATGGTTCTGTTAGTAATGAAGCAAAGTTAAGTCTAACCTTGCTCTTTTTTTTTGCCAGGATGGCCGCATTGACTATGGAGAGTTTGTTGCCATGATGACCAAGGGCAATATGGGAGTCGGTCGAAGAACAATGAGAAACAGCTTGAATATCAGCATGAGGGACGCACCTGGTGCATTCTGAGACTTAACACGATGTACAGCTTGTGGCTTAGCTACTTCCTCTGTCTTGCTGCCCTACGAAACCTTCTACAATTTTTCAAGATGTTGTCAAGTGTCTGTGTGGATGTGTTTTTCTGGGGATTCTGATTGAATTCTTGTGATTGATTCCATGAAATGCATAACAAGATGTCCATGTCACGCATGAACCCGGATTGTAAATGATGCTGCTGCCCCTTGACTCTCAGAAACACTAATGTTCAGTGAACTAGCTCGCCGTGTCTGTCTCCGGTCTCCCTTGATTGATGACATCCATTCTTGGGATGCACGCTGTATCTCAATGCAATGCGTTGCTCCGTTTGTATGAACCTGTACTACTGTTTTCCCGATGCTTGCCATGATGTAAGCATGATCTGGCGGTCTGGCCGCCTTTGTTTAGGCTGGGGCGAATCTATAGATTATTATGGATAAGGAATGACGAAAAAAGATAACATCAAGATATTCTATGATGCTCTCCTCAACCAATGTCAACAAAAAGAACTACGCAGGAATCCATGGTCACCACTCACCAGTAATCCCCGCAAGAGCAGGAACCACCATTGAAGTGGTGGAATCGCACGGCATCTCGAATCACGAACTCCCGACCAGTCACTGAGGATATCAGCTTGATCACAGTGTGGCAGTCGCCGCAAATGCGCAGATTCTTCATGATGTGGATCGGCATCCAGGCGGGCAAGCTCATGAGCCCGAAGGCTACAGCTAGCTTCTCACTGTGGTGAATCTCGGAGCGCGGGGAGTCAGTCCTCACATAACCGAGGCGCGCGATCTTCTCCATGAGCTCATCCAGCTTATTCCGAATCGCGATCACCTGGGGATGGCTCACGTCATCCGCTTTAAATACGTGGACCTTGTTGTTAACCTCCATCCAGCTATATCCCGGGTTCTTTTTTATCCCCTTGTCCCTCATCAGCTTCCTTATCTGTGCAGAATCATCAGATTTCCCAGCATCGGCATAGATCTTCGCCATAAGCATGTAGCTCCCAGAATCGGGTGAGTCCAGCTCAAACACATGTTTCGCTGCAAGTTCAGCGAGCTCATTGTTGCCATGTATCTTGCAGGCACTAAGAAGAGCTCCCCAAACCTCAGCGGTTGGTTTCATGGGCATCTCATCAATGAGATCTTTGGCTTCCGTCAGGTGCCCGGCACGGCCAAGAAGGTCTACCATGCATGAGAAATGCTCCAAACCTGGAGATATGTTATGGACTCTCTTCATCATATCAAAATAAGATTTCCCCTCCTGCACGAGTCCGGAGTGGCTACAGCCTGACAGAACTGCAACATAGCTTATGTAGTCTGGCTTTGCGCCTCTTTTCAGTATGTCATCAAAGATCTCTATGGCTTGCTTTCCCATGCCATGCTGTGAATAACCAGTGATCATGGCATTCCAAGATACAATATCCTTCATGTTCAGGAAGTCAAATACTTTTTGAGCTTCTAAAATCCTTCCGCACTTGGAATACATTGTTATAACTGCATTCGCAACAGAGGTGTCTAAAATGAGACCAGCCTTTACAGTACGACCAATAATTTGATCTCCAAGTTTGTTTGCACCTAAATCTGCACAGCCTTTGAACAATGTGACATAGGTAACCCAGTCAGGTCTAACATCCTTCTCACTTAGCATAACCTTATACATCCTGAGGCCATCTTCCTCAGCTCCATGCTGTATATATGCTCCCAACATAGCATTCCATGTAATTACATTCTTTGTTGACATGCCATCAAAGAACTCTCGAGCTTTTGTGATGTTCCCTACTTGAGAATGTGCAGTGATCATGCTTGTCCATGATACAATGTCCTTTTCATTCATAAGTCTGAATATAGATTCAGCACTCTGGAGATTGTCGCACTTTGCATACATGGAGATGAGAGAATTGGAGACAACGACAGCTTGAATCTGCCCACTTTTCAGACAAAGTGAATGTAGTTGCCTCCCAAGGTACAAATCCATCCTGCTGCAGCAGCCACTTATAAGAGTTGCCAATGCGAACTGATCAAGTGTCATCAACTCAGCTCTCATCTGGTTGAACAATTCAACAGATTCAGTGAAACACCCATACTGCAAGAATCCCGAGATGAGAACTGTCCAAGCCACGTTGTTACGATCATGTAAAGAGTTGAACACCTGCTTAGCTTCCTTGAAACAGCCACATTTTGCATACAGTTCAACAAGAGCACTAGCGACATATGGATCAATGTGGGGTAGGTTCCGAATCACCTGAGCATGAAGTTGCTTACCCCATCCTAAAGAAGATAATCTGGCACACACAGTAAGAGAACTAGTGTATGTTGTTGAATCAAGGCGGACCCCTTTGCTTTGCATGTCCACAACCATATCAAGGGCTTCTCTGACTCGGCCACTCTGAGACAATGCTGATACCATCATGTTCCATGAAACAACATCACGTTCAGGCATGCTATCAAAAAGCTCAAGGGCATGGTCAACACCATATGTCTTGACATATCCCACTAGCATACTGTTCCGACAGAATATAGTGGGTTCTTTAATGCGAACAAACAACCTTGAAGCTAAATCCACAGTTCCACATCTCACAAACATGTCGACAAGGGCAGCTGCTACATCACTATCATCCTGGGAACCGAACTTCTGAACCATCCCAAGCAGTTGCAGCGCCAAACTGTGCTGTCCAAGGGCACCACAAGACTTCATGGCATAAGCGAATGTGAATGCATTTGGCGACGAATCACCACTTCGGTGCATGGACACAAAGCTTTCCAAAGAAGCCAAGTACTGTCGGCTCTGAAAGTATCCGGACATGAGCGTGTTCCACGAGGCCACGTCTCTCGCGGGCATTCTACCGAACAGCTCCACGGCATCGCTCAGTCGTCCGAGCTTGGCGTACCCATTCAGCATGACGTTGTGGGTGATGACGTTGGGGTGGGCGATGTCCGTCAGAAGCAGGCGGCGGGCGTCGGGGAGGGCTCCGCAGGAGAGGTAGGCGTGGAGGAGCGTGTTCTGTAGGAAGACGGCGGACGCGAGGCCCACGGCAACGAGGCGGCCGTGCAGCGCGCGGGCGCCGCTGAGCGCGCCGCGTGCACCGCACGAACGCAGCGCGTCGGCAAACGCCTGCGTGACCGCCATGTGGGAGGCAACCGCCGGAGGAGGAGGAGGAGGAGGCGGCGGCGGCAGTGGCGGCCATGGGGACGCCACCATTCAAACGATTGCGGCCTTGCGCTATGCTATGCGTGCTCCCAGAAGAAGCGAAATCGCATGGTCCAATTCGGCCCATGAAATTTGGTTGCGGGTTGCCGGGTTGGAGAGACACAAGCCCTAAAAATACGCTATCTCAAAATGAAAGCGTAAAGGTGATGTTAACGTCTCGTACTGTCCTCCTCGGGAAAAAGTCTCGTAACCCTAACTTATTTAGCGTGGACTACTTTATCCTCTAAAGTACAAAATCAGATTTTCTATTCTAAACTTTTTAAAATCGGTCAAATAACCTCCAAGTGGTTTTGGACGATGATTTTACTACAGTGATTGTGGTTTTATCTTTTTTTTCACTGAATCTTTGAAAAATCATAATAAATCATAAAAAATCATAAAATGAAAAATCCAATTTTATTGGACTCCACATGAGTAGATCTACACAGTGAACATATAATATGGTATGTTTTAGTACAAAGTTTTTGTTGTAACTTTATATTTATATTTTTCTGTAATTAAATGGAATAATTCATAGCTATTGGTCCAATTGTTTTGAAATTTTTATGATGGACTAATTATTGTATGCTTGAACTGTAATAAAAAATTCATACTCATTAGATTATGTATAACTTAGTTATAAATTTATTTAAGTTTATGCTTGTTAAACCTATGCTTTATCTATAACTAAGTTATACACGATTCCATGAGTATGAAATTTTTACTACAGTTTAAGCATACAATAATTAGTCCACCATAAAATTTATCTAAAGCTACAGTAAAAACTTTGTACTAAAAATACTATATTATATGTTTACGGTGTAGATCTACTAATATAGAGTCCAACAAAATTAATTTTTTTTATTTTATGATTTTTTTATGATTTATTATGATTTTTCAAAAATTCAGCAGAAAAAAAAACAAAACCACCATCACTGTATCAAAAATACCGTCCAAAATTACTTGGGATTATTTGTTAGCTCCTTCCAGGCCCAGGATTCATTCCAGATCTGCTTCCTTATACAAATTAAGTCTACTGTTTCGGCTGGATTTTTTTCCAGGGACTCATTCCCTGCTAAACGAACGGGACCTTAGGGTTATTTGACCGGTTTTTGAAGCTGAGACGGTTGAAAATTCGATTTTATAGTTCGGGTGAAGTAGTCCACGTGATGAATAGTCAGGGGTCTTTTAGACTTTTTCCGTCTTCTTGTCTCTCGTACTCGCGCGTGGAGTCTCCGAATTTCCCATTCGGCAGCGAGGAAACCAAAGCCGGGGAACTTCTGATCCGGTGTTAGGGGACAGTGGTTTGGCGCGAGGCCATGGAGGGATCCCTGGAGGCGCGGCCCGGTGTCCTCCTCGTCGGCGCCCCGGGCGTCGGCAAGCGAACCATCCTCTCCCGTGAGATCTCGCTGTCCTCCTTTCCTTATGTTTGGGTTTCCTTCTCCCGATTTGAATGCGAAACATCGAGTGGGTAGAGTTGTTGAACTATTTAGGATCTGAATCAGATGTGTTCGCGTCGTGAGCAGGAGGAGAAGATCCCGTGGTCCACCTGTGATTTGATTTTTTTTTTGAGTGGACCAAGTAAAACGGGTGTTGATTCGGAGTAGATAGAGAAGAGAAGACACAAGATGACAAGCTTGTACTGTTTTAGCTGACAAATTAACGCTTCTAGTTTCAACCATTACCTTGATAATTGATGAATTCATTGGGCTGTGGAGTAGATATAGATATTTAAGTTTACATGCTTTGCTAAAATAAGATATCACTCTGATATTCCAAAATTTACTGTTCATATTATTTATATGTGGTTGCGCTTATTATTTCCTGACCATTTTCATTTCACCATGAACTTCAGGGTTGCTTGCAGCGGAAATACCTGACGTGCATGACTTATCATCCGGTGTGCTGTGTCAGGGGTATGTAATAGCATCTTGTCAAATTACATTTTTGTCTGTGAGAAATGTCAAATACTCCTACTTATATAGAAGTAGAAAGCATTGTTTTCAGTTAAATCTTCTTCTAATACATGATATAATTTATTTTGCTACTGATTGCCATGCAGGTGGACAATTGAAACAAAGTATTATTCAGCTGATCTTTCCATCTGGACAGCAAATCTTGGTGAAGAATTTTCTCTTGGTTCCCTCCCTCATCTAAACCGGCTGGCGGCCCTTGTTATGGTCTTTGATATGAATGATGTCCGTACTGAACCTGTGTTCTCATTCAACCTTATTGTGCTTTCTGTCTTAGCGTTTAAATATTCTGAACCTTATAATTTTCAGAGTTCATTTTTTTATCCTCAGTGCTACAGTAGGGTAACAACAACAACAACAACATAGCCTTTCGGTCCCAAGCAAGTTGGGGTAGGCTAGAGTTGAAACTCACCAAGAGCCCCAAGTCACGGTTCAGGCACTTCAATAGCTGTTTTTCAAGTACTCCTATTCAAACATAGATCTCTAGGTATATCCCAAGCTTTCAAATATCTTTTTATTGCCTCCCCCCATATTAATTTCGGTCTTCCTCTACCTTTCCTCATATTATTAGCTTGGCTTAGGACTCCACAATGCACTGGTGCCTCTGGAGGTCTCCTTTGGACATGCCAAACCACCTCAACCGATGTTGGACAAGCTTTTCTTCAATTGGTGCTACCTCTAGGCGATCACGTATATCATCGTTCCGAACTTGGTCCATTCTTATGTGACCGCAAATCCAACGCAACACACGCATTTCTGCAACACTCAGTTGTTGAACATGTCGAATCTTTGTAGGCCAACATTCTGCTCCATACAACATAGCTGGTCTAATCGCCGTTCTATAGAACTTGCCTTTTAGCTTTTGTGGTACCCTCTTGTCACTACAGTAGGGTAACAGCCTTTACTAATTATGCAGGAATCCACCTTGCTTACTCTGCAAAGCTGGGCTGCCAATGTTGATATCCAGAGGTTTGAGGTCTTGTTATGCATTGGAAATAAAGCAGATCTTGTACCTGGTCATAGCGCACATATAGAATATAGGAGGCGTATGCAAAAGCTTGGGGAGTCAAGTTCTAATCCACACCCTGATTATTTCGATTTTGGGATAAATGAAAGTGAGGGTTGTAGCTTGTTATCTGAGGAAGAGCCATGCATAGAGATCAGAAACTCTACTGCAAAGTGGTGCATTGAGCAGAACATAGAATATATTGAGGCCTGTGCTTCCAATGCTGACTTTGATAAGTGTAAGTTGTCTCCTCGGTTGTAAACCTGTAACTGTTAAAGTTTTTTCTCCTCAAGTTTCTACACTTTGCCATTAGGCTTTTCTTATTTCCAGTAATCAATCTATTACCATGAGCTCTAAATTGAGCATCAATTAATTATTTTATACCCAATGAAAACTTATATCTTTTATGGACTCCAATAGAAGAAGGATTATATCCTATAGGAGCCGTGGTTTTTTCTATCTGAATTGATGTTTATTCAAACTAACAGGTCTATCAGTGGATGGTGATAGCCAAGGCTTAGAGCGACTCTTTGGAGCTCTTTCTGCACATATGTGGCCTGAAATGATTCTGAAATCTGGAAACAGAATAACTGCCCCATCCTTGGTTGAAAAAGAAGGTAGTTAAATGCCATAAATGAGTAAATTGGAACTGATGATTGTTGATCTGTACCTTGCTTATTCTGCACTATTGAAAAACTATGGGACGGCATGGCATGCTTAGAAAGTTTCTATATTAAGTAATTTCAGCTGTTAGAATTTGCTGTCCCTCTTTTACATAAAATGTGTTGTGAAATCTTTGCACCAGTAAACTACTTTAAATTATTGAATATAAAATAATGCACTACATGTCCCTGATTATTCATTTTCATTCCGACAGAATCTACGGATGATGAATCCAACTATGATTTTGAGTACGAGGTCCTGTCCCATGGATCTGATGACCAGTGGGAATTTGTTGGCGAGACAAGTACATCCAGAAGCTTTGAGAGATCAAATGAGGCTGATGGTACGCAGGATCACACACATCAAGTTGTGAAGGCCGGTACTGACTCTTCAGCATCCAACCCTCTCCCGAGTGGCATGCCCACAGAAACTGCTGAAGAAAATACTGTAACTCGGACCAACAAAACCGACAATAGTGATCATGTGGACACGACCACAGCATATAGCACTGAGGATCATCAAAGTGATCTTCCAGAGGCTAACCATCTTTTTGAGGACGAGCATTATGGTCTGGATGACCTGGAGAAAATCATGTCGGAGATTGGTAACATGCGATCAAACCTAAGGCTCATGCCTGACTTCCAAAGGAGGGAGATGGCTGCAAAGCTAGCCATGAAAATGGCAGCCATGTTTGGTGGTGATGAAGAAGAGGCATTTGAGGATATCTAAGGCAATTCATGTAATTCCACCTTACTGCTGATTCCCAGACAGGGTTGCAGATGATGGAAAGATGGTTTTGTACAAGCCGATGAGCCTCTCGGCATGACGGCACCTAGGGCCTTTCTCATGATAATGTCTTTTTCTTTGGCGAAAATTTTGTGCCTATTGGGCGTTCTATATAGCCTTGGAAGATGTATTATTATGAACTTTAACTCCCTTGAATCCTCCAGTGGAAAACTTTCTGAACTATGTTATGGTGCAATAGGAAAATTATGGAATTGTAGAACCACAGACAAAAAAAAAGATAACTTTACAAGTTATTGTATTTCCAAACTTCAGCGGATGAAAAACAGAGTGCATAGTTTGCATTTTAAATACCTCTGATAGAGGAAATACGTCAGGCGGGGTGGACTACATCCAGTGAATAAGGAGTATTTGTATTGATTTATTCTGCACAGAGTGCTCAGTTCGATGTCAAGTAGAGGGGATGAAATGTGTGTCCGTCTTTGTCCCCGGTCTAAGTTCGAGTCTCAGGCTCCGGGTATATGGTTACAAACATGCAGCCCCTGACAATCAACGATAGTGTTGCTTAGCTATTTACAATCACATCCGACTGATGGGTTCACTATTGAGATAAGTGTGATTCCTGTGCTGGAATTGTCCCCTGCTTAGTCGAAACCGTGCAAATGGCAGTGCAGCGCAGGCGCAGCACACCGATTAACACCTCAGTTGTGTTTGTCCTAGGAGTCGGTTATGGCATTAGTGAAGCTACCCAGTACCCATGTACTTGTTAGAATAAATATCCATTCACAACACGTCAAGCGACTTCCATATTAACTGTTCACTATGTAAACCGGTAAGCCCACTGTTCCAAAACTTCTCTATCTACAGCTACAGCCTAAAAGCTGATAACACTATGCAACAAAGCAAATATCATCAAAGAGCTGAAGTACACAAATCTTATTGCCCTTCCGGCCCATTTGATTGTAAACTTCCATCAGAGCTATGTTTACCAGACTCAATTGACACTTGTCTATCTTGGTTATCAAACTTCGAGCTCTCAAGATTTTCAGATGGCTTGCCTGATGATCTCATTGATCTCTCATTACGCTGCATACTCGTTGGATCCGAAGGGGGCTTGGTAACCTGCAAAGCATCGTTGGGATTCAGAATCATTATTCTGGAAGGCAGGTGGTTAACAAAAGTATGTGTGATTGGTTCTTTTGTCAGACTAGGCTTGGAGCTTTATCAATATAATCAATTTTGATTTGACAGAAGGGAGGATCTAATGGATAATATTGTTGTCATTTTAAATGTCAAGAAGATCATGTTCATCGGCAAAGCACTCACAGCATTTGAAGCCTCTAGCCTTGCCTGCAAAGCTTCATGCTCAGCCCTAACACGGGATGGGACACCATCCTTTTGATAGACATTCTGTTTGGCGGTCTCCTCATCTACTTCACTTGAAGCAGCAGCAAAAGGATGGTTTGCTGGGATCCATCTAACTGTATCTGGATCAACATCTGGAGGTAAGGAATCACCTTCCCTGAGAAACACGGTTGGCCTTTTCCACTGATATGCACGTGATCTCCTCTTCTGATGCATTTCTTGTTGCTCCTTCGTAAGCCTAACAGGAGCCAAACGGTACTCCTTGCCAAACATTTGTGCAGTAGATGTGCCCTCATCAATCTTGACTAATGGATTATTGAAAGGATCATCGTATGTGCGGAGCTTTGCACTGCAGGAAAGGAATTACTTCAGTCATGATTATTGCACAAGTCAAAGGTTTATAAGTTCACAGAAAAGCTTCATTTAACCATTTATATCTGCATTGAAATGAACCCTGTAATTAGTTTCTGAAAGTTGAATTCCCGTGCCCATACCAGGAACCAGACTAACATGTGAAAACTATGGTGAGGCTTTACAATGGCATGGAACAAGTAAATAGGGACAGTAACTCCTCACAAGCATAAGCACAAATGATAAGATCACTTAACAGAAAATTAATTAGTAGACAATGGGGCATGACCAAGTCACATAGACAAAGTTTCAAGTCTTATGTTAAAACATGATCATTAAAACAGAGGCTATAGTCCAAACGATAATCAAGCATCCATAAACCCAGCAATACATCAATGAGAATACAAAACGCAACTTCAAGGAAATGAAGGAATTAGTAACATACGTCCCTCGTTGCCCTGATTTTAACTGTCCACGCCTTACTAGATCAGCAACAGAACCTCTATTATCATGCTCTCGACTTCTAATGATAACCTGCCTTGCAGCAGCAGCCAAAAATGCAATGCCAACACAGAAACCAGCAACAAAATTTGGGCTAATGCTTTTCTGGATCTGCATGAAAAGAGAAAGTAAGAACATGAAGTACACAACATGGAAACTGGTACAACTCAAGGATGAGCATGTTAAAGCAGAAAACGTTATTGCTTATGGTAAAAAAGAAAAGGAAGGCACGCAATAAAAGAAATAAATTGTCTGCATAGTTTAAAACCAATTCCCTGATGTACTGAAACTTGTTGATGACATTTATGGTTTGCTGGATGAGGATCACGGACAGAGAAACAAGGGATGTCTAATCACATATGATAGTATTCGGCATTCAGTGTCTTCAGCTTATCTATGCAGCCACGAGTTTCATACCACTGTGTACTAATCAATTCAACAGATCCTCCGTCCCAATTAATATCAATTTGCTACTTAGTTGTTCATAGACGATCATAGGGAACACAACTGTGTTTTGCTTTTGCACTCGTTCAAAAACCTCCCTCACACTCGTCGCAATTTATCTACTAGCCAAATATATGATATCCAATTACAATCTCCCTCCACAGCAATTGCCATCTCGTGCTGACACAAACCAATCCCGCAATCCAAATGTAAAAACAAAATACCCAGAGAGGGAGAGGTAAGGGGAGTCCTTACCGAAGCAACAGCAGGAGGCACGGAGGCGACGAAACCCTCAGATCTCCCACCCTGCTCTGCAGAGCCCCCAGCTTCCGCTCCCCGCCTGCGACGTCACTGGCGTTGCTCGACGCCGAAGCCCTAATCGGCCGCGGCCACCTCACCGCCCTTCCGCGGAACAGCCGCGGAGGGAGGAAGAGGCGGAACGGGAGGAGACGGAGACGGAGACGGAGGCGGTCGCCATTGTCGCCCTCACATGGATGGAGAAGCAGAAGCTAACCAAGGTCAGGAGGCTTTGGTGCTGTGGGACTCGGTGTGCTCAAGGCCCGAGGCTGGGGATGGTCAGAGACGGAGGCTGCCAGTGCCATGGCAAGAGACTGGCGGCGTTCACTTCCACTGCCCTGTCCAGTGAACGTCACATACCGGGCCGGAGTGCAGAGCGAGCTCGAGAAAGCCCATGGGCCCCATGCCTTATTAGCTCCTTTGTATATAGGAAATAGTCAATTTTGCGCCCTCAGCCATAGGAAAAGTTAGATTTTCTCTCACTACTCTAAAACCAGAAATAGTTCCTCCCTCGTTCCTCAAAACCGGTCACTTAACCTCCGTGGCTGTTTTCCTTGGTGGATTTCTTTTTCTTTTATTTTTATTCTAGATGCATTTTAAAAAAATCATAGAAAATCATAGGAAAATCATAAAATGAAAAATCCAATTGTGTTGGACTCCATATGAGTAGATCTAGACACAGTGAACATATGATATACTATGCTTTAGTATAAAGTTTTTGCTATAACTTTACATATATGTTTTTTTAATTAATTCATAGCTGCGGTTTCTTTGGTCCAATGGCGGCGAAATTTTTATGGTGAGCTAATCATTGCATGCTTGAGATGTAGTAAAAATTTCATGTTCATTGGATCATGTGTGACTGAGTTCTAGATTTATGTTGACTTTTGCGATAGTTGAGGGAGGCAAAATGATTTTTTTCCTTGTATATATACATCAAGTTTTCAGTTACAACTTCTGGGCTTTTTAAACAAACTGGCACTAGTTGTGCCAATTTCTATCTAATACTGTAGAGTAGAAGACAGCTTCTGCCGGTTACCAACTGCAAGATGATACGAGTTCAGCTCTGCTGTGTTTTCACGATAATTCAGCTCAGTAGTTTGCCGTTTGACCAATCTAAAGCCATTGGCGCTTTTGGTTTGCAGGACCAAACGGTCTACTGAGTGATCAACCTATGTCCGAACCTATGTAACAGTTTGATTTAAGTCATGAAATAACCTCATTCGTCATTTGTTCATTCTCTATAGCAATAATTACAGGCTAACATGCACAACTGCTTAGTTCGGTGAAAATTCGCCGGGTCAACAGATGTCGAACCAGCCCATGTCGTATGGAGCCGTATGGAGCCAACCACTAAACCAAACACGCTGTACGGCTCCGATGACTTTGTATGTATAATAGTCTATGCGATGACTTTACTGTACTACTAGATGCTAGCAACCTCCCTGTTTACAACAGATAAGTTCAGGAGAAGTTTGCGTAGTCAAAGTCTCTTCTGGGCTTCTGTCGTTGCGCGTTGGGTTGCATTATATTTCTGTGAAGTTTCTGCAACGCAATACGCCTGGTCATTGCGTTCACAATGCCAAACAACACGATTCAATGCACACATGTTTCCTGATGATGGGCTACGAAAGTAAGACTTCTACGTGTTCGTCGCGATTTTGTGGCCCTCATTCATCAAGTACATGAGGCATATAACCCAGAGAATTAGAGAGAGTTCGCCGGAAACGGTAGGTAGCCATGGCGTCCCCGTCCCATACCGGAATCATGCGGTGCTTCGCTCTGCTCGCTTCTGCAACTCTTGCCATCCTGATCCTCTGCGGCACCTGCAGCTGCTTGCAGTTCAGCTACCCCTCCTTCGGCACCGCCAATGAGGCCGATTTCAGCTTCAGCCCCGGCGCCGGCATCGCAGACGGAGCCCTGCAGATCACGCCGAGCACCGGAGACCTGAGCCACCGGTCGGGGAGAGTCTGCTACGCGCGGGAAACCCTCAAGCTGTGGAACCGCAGGGGGACGGCGCTGACGTCGTTCAGGACGGAGTTCGTGCTCAACATCCTCCCGCGGAACGGGACCGGAGAAGGTATGGCATTCATCCTCACAAACAACCCGGAGCTGCCCCGGAACAGCAGCGGGCAGTGGCTGGGACTAGTGAACAGCCAGACGGACGGCTCACCGGCGAACCGGATCGTGGCCGTGGAGTTCGACACGAGGAAGAGCGGCAAGGACGACCACGACAACAATCATGTCGGCCTCGACGTCAACAGCGTCGCGTCCGCCAGCGCGTATCCTCTCAGCAACCTCTCCATCGTGCTGTCAAGCGGCGCTGATGTACGGGTCACCATAGAGTACGACGGTGCAGCGCTGAGCATAGTCGCGGTGCAGACGTACAGCTTCATATATGCTTGGGCCGGTGACCTGTCGCAGTATCTGACGGACGACATCACCGTCGGCTTCGCGGCTTCGACCGGCGACTTCACCGAGCTGAATGAGATCAAGTCTTGGAATTTCACCACGCTAGGCGACGATGCAGACAGAAGATGGCGACATAGGAAGAAGATGAGATTGCTTCTCGCCTACCTGATCCCGTTCGCCATCGCCGGATCGTTCCTGGCGTTCTGGGCGTGGAGAAGGCTGACGCGGCCGAGAAGGCTAGCCTACCGCAACCTCGAGGAGATGATCGACGCGCAAGGCCCGGTCAGGTTTAAGTTCAGGGAGCTGAGGAATGCTACGGCCAACTTCAGCTCCGACCGCAAGCTCGGCAGGGGCGGCTTCGGCACCGTGTACCTCGGCTACCTGAAGAGGCTGGGCGTGGAGGTGGCCGTGAAGCGGGTGATGACGAGCGGCAACTCCAATCGCGGCGAGCAGGAATTCGTGGCGGAGGTGAACTCGATCAGCAAGCTGTCGCACCGCAACCTCGTGAAGCTCATGGGGTGGTGCCACGAGAGAGGCGAGCTGCTGCTCGTCTACGAGTATTTCCCCATGGGCAGCCTGGACAGACACCTGTACGCCGCCGATGCCAGAGCAATAAGCAACGCGTCTCCGTCGCCATCGGAGACGACGTCGTCAGCAACGCTTGAGCTGCTGACGTGGGAGCGGCGGTACAGGATCATCCGCGGCGTGGCGTCGGCGCTGGAGTACCTGCACCACGGGAGCAGCAAGCGGATCCTCCACCGTGACGTGAAGGCGAGCAACGTGATGCTGGACGGCGAGTACGAGGCGCGGCTGGGCGACTTCGGCCTGGCCCGCGTCATCCAGCGCGACGGCGCGACGCACCACTCCACGCAGGCGGTGGCGGGCACCCGCGGGTACATGGCGTACGAGAGCTTCTTCACCGGCCGCGCCAGCCTCGACACGGACGTGTTCGCGTTCGGGGTGTTCGTCCTGGAGGTGGTCAGCGGGAGGCGGCCGAGCAGCCCCGTGGCGGCACGGTCGTACCGCGACGGCGACGGCGACGGCGACGACGAGGCGAGCTTCGGGCGAGGTCGGCAGCAGCCGCCCATGCACATCGTGGACTGGGCGTGGCGCCTGTACGGCGAGGGGAGGGTGCAGGACGCCGCCGACGCGGCTCTGGGCGGCGAGTTTGACCCGGCGGAGGTGGACCGCGCGGTGAGGCTGGCCCTGGCGTGCGGCCACCCGAACCCGAGGGAGAGGCCGTCCATGCGGACGTCGGTGCAGGTGCTGGTCGGTGGAGCCGAGGCGCCGGAGCCCCCGCTCCTGAAGCCTGCGTTCGTTTGGCCGCCTTTCGGCGAGCGGCAGGAGATCGAGCTGGCGAATGTCGGGGTGCTCTTCACCGGAGGCGGAGGGCACTCCAGTTTCTGTTCTCTGTCCTCCTCCTTCACGGGAAGGTGAGGAATTAGCGAGGATTATTTGCACATCTACGTAGATGATACAGAGTTCACAAAATTTGTTTGGTCTGTCAAGATGGATCATGAATTGTTTATATTTTTCCAAGTAAAATATGTTCTTGCTTTGTTAAGCAGAGAAAATCATTCTAATTTTTTCAAGCTTTATATTAGAAGAAGAATCACGCCCCCGCTAGCGCTCAGAGGATAGCTATCAGCCTGTCACCCATGAAACGGAATGGGCGAATGGCCCGCCCGGAGCCGGAGGACTCGCGGCTGTCTTGTCTTGTCTCCCGCGGGCCGCGGCGACCACGAACCCAGCGCTACGGGCCGACGGCGCACCAAGCTCTCACACAGTCACACGTGATGCGCGGGTCTACACGGACGCGGCCGCTTTTCTCAGGCTGCCAGAGCCCGCCGGACCAACCTTGTCCAGGTCGCGATCGAGGCCAGCCGGACGACTGGAATTGGTTGCCTACATCACTTGCACACTGCCAACTTGCGTCCCCCGTCTAATTCTAAAAAAAACTTGCGTCCCCCGTCCCTACCGGTAAGTTTTAACGGCCAGGTAACCTTCTGCCCGAGTAGATTTTCCGGTTCAATGGTGTTGGACTTGCAGCCAGCCAGCCAGCCACTGATGTTGGGTCTGAATTGTTAGTTGATCTCTACCATAGGCCCAACGGTCTATTGGACTCTTATCTCTGCTCCCTGATCGGGGAAGCCCAACCCTAATCCGGTTGGTGGGCCCCTGTCGCACAACACACATAAAAGGAAGGTGGGGGTGAGGGCTCAGGCTACGAGGTTCGCCGTGAGCCGCCATTCCCACCCCAATCTACTAATCGATCTAAAAAATGCAGGATGAGTTTCTCAACCACCGCCGTCGACCCACGCGCAGGTCACCACCGGACCATTGCTCTCCCAGCCGCCATCGACTTCACCGCCATCAAGCCGGACGCCTTTCTACACGGCACCAAGGCGTCTACCCGCCTGGTGCATCTATCGAGAAGGCGAGGAGTCTACCCGGATTCACGGGTCACAGAGGTACCAATCTCTACGATCCTAACAATGGTACCAGAGCAGCGTTTTGTAACCCTAACCCTAACGGGTAAAAGCAAAGAAAAGGGACCGGGGTGGCGGATGTCACTCGAACCCGGCCACCACTGATGGGAAGAAGAGCATTGCCGCCTCACCGGGCAACGCAACAAGAAAAGAAATGATTCTTATTCGGATCAGAGAATAGAAAGGAAAAAGGATCTTAAGAATCCCAACCCTAACCCTAACGGGTGAAACAACAATGGAATGTAAAGGGAAAGGATCTCAAGAACCTAACCTCAACCCGCTAAATAGCTCGAGGAAGAAGAAAAGAAAAGGTTTCGCCTTAAGATGAACAGAGCCAATAAATCAAAGAAAAGAAAAAGAAATCAATTGAAAAGCTTAAACCCTAACCCAAGAACGAATCCCCATCATTAATCGGTTCAATCCGAGAAGAAAGAAAGAAAAAGAAAAGAAAGAAAAGAAGAGGGGTCTACACTAACCCTAACCCTAGATCCTCTTTTCGGTGAACGAGTGAAAAGAAAGAAAGAAGATATAAATCGAATCCGAAGGGAAGAAGAAAAGGAACCAAGATTCCCATTCGGATTGAACCTCTAGAACAAACCCTATTTTCCCACGTCGGTTCGAAAAGAGAGGATCAATCCAAACCGAAAAGAACTAGGGAAAAAGAAAAGGAAAAGAATGAAAAGAGACCTCGCTGTGAACCGAAAGCGAATCATTTGGAGAGGGAGAAGAAGACCGAACTTTCAAGCCACTAAGGTGCTGCCAAAGCGGCTGACGGTGGTGGCCACTCACTGGGAGCACGACGCTGGCGAGGGGGCCGGGCGACGGCACGGGGCTCGCCGCCCACTCGCTCCGCTTTCCGCCTTTGCTCGCTCTCGGTTCGCCGCTCTCGGTGCTTAGCTGTGTTGAGAAGAAAGAACGAGGCGAAGAGAGAGAAGAGGGAAGGGCGAATGAGATAGGGTTTCAGGAGAGTGGCGCCGGTCACCGTTTTTGTTCGCCCGAGAACCACGAGCAGCCGTCGGATCTGATCCAACGGTGCCGGTTGATCGGGCCGCCTCGCCCAAAGGGCGAGGGCGTGAGGCCACTTTCCGGCCCAGCCCAGTTGCGGCTTTGAAGGGCGGGAGGACGCGGCGGGTCATGTAATGCTTTCAGTCGAAACATAAGAAGAGCAAGAGCCCAATTTTTCTTTTTCCGGAAAATTGAATATGCAAATTGGCTCAAAAGAAAAATAGAAAAGTAATTTTTCCTCGTGGGTAAAATTCAAGAAATTGATTGTTTTTTCATTTGCTAAAGAAAAGTACATTCTCCAGAGTGTTTTGAACCGACGTGTCGGAGAAAAGAAAGTTCTTCCAAAGAAATGTTTATTTTCCGGAAAAATTGATTAATAGATTAAAGGAAATAGAAAAAGCAATTTTCCCCGTGGGTAAAATTCAAGGAAAAGAGAGTTTTTCCACAGCCAAAGAAATTAGTTATTCTCCAGTTAATTTGTACCAACATGATATTTAACTGGAGAAAAAGAAAGTTCTTCCAGTAAATGTTTATTTTCTGGAAAATTGATTAATAGATTAAAGAAAATAGAAAAAAGCAATTTTCCCCGTGGGTAAAATTCAAGGAAAAGAGAGTTTTTCCACAGCCAAAGAAATTGGTTATTCTCCAGTTAATTTGTACCAACGTGATATTTAATTGGAGAAAGGGAAAGTTTTTCCGCTGCTAAACAAATTATTGATTCTCCAGTTATTTTGAACCAATGTAATATTTAATTGAAGAAAAAGAGTTTTGATATGATTATGATGTTGTTATTTTCTGACCAACGTTGTTAATAACAATATCATAATATTAATGATTTATGCATTAATTCTACTTCTGTCCAACGGTGATGTAAAATTAGTGTATAAAAAAAGATGATAATTTTAATGATTTATGCATTAATTCTACTTCTGCCTAACGGTGATGTAGAATTAGTGTATGAGAACAGTTGTAAAAGTTAATGATTTATGTATTAATTCTATTTCTGCCCAACGGTGATATAGAATTAGTGTGTAAGAACAGATGTGAAAGTTAATGATTTATGCATTAATTCTATTTCTGCCCAACGATGATGTAGAATTAGTGTATAAGAATAGTTGTATGTTTTGATTTTGACCAACGTTGGAATCAAGGCATGCAAATGGTGTTATTTTTATGTTAAGAAAAGTTTTGACCTGATTTTCATCTTGTCTAAGGTGGACTGGGTAGTCACCTCACCGTGTTCCACTGAGATTGTGGCACCGGTGAGGGAGACAAAAGTGAATGATGCCACTTGGGCAACTAAAGAAAGGGATTTTGAATCCTAAAAGATATCCTATGGCTTTTGAGCATAGAAAGTGGGTCACTGCAAACAAGAAATGTTTAGCGGTGATAAAGAACATGATTGAACCTGCAATTATGGGCTCAATCCCAGAATGTGACACGGTCACCGAATACCTCGATAGAATAAAGAGTCAGTTCACTGGCTCTTCAAAGACATATGCCACTTAGCTGATAAAGCAGTTGGTCACAGAGTGTTACTCTAGAAATGGTGGCATAAGAGGGCTCACGATGCGTTGTCGAAATTATGGCACTATCGTTTAGGCCATATTTCGAGGGAGAGAATAGAAAGACAAGTTAAGAATGATATTCTTCCTCCATTAGAGCTCTCAGATTTAGAACAATGCAGAGAATGCATAAAAGAAAAGTATGTAAAGAAGATTAAGAAATATGCCAAATGAAGTGTAGGAGTTTTATAGATTATTCACACAGACATCTGTGGTCAGTTTCCTGTAAAGAGTGTGGATGGTAATGATTCGTTCATAACATTCACATATGAGTACTCCCATTATGGCTATATTTATCCAATCAAAGAAAGAAAAGATGTATTGGATAAATTTAAGATATTAAAGATTAAGATAGTCAGGTCTGACCATGGAGGAGTACTACGGTCAGCATACCCTAAAAGAATGGCATAGTAGCCCAGTATTCTATACCGGGCAAACCTCAGCAGAATAGAGTAGCTAAAAGAATCAATCGTACCCTGATGGATATGATGGGTAGTATGATAAGTTACTCCAACTTACAATTGAGCCTGTGAATGGAGGCGTTGAAAACGGCCATTCATATTCTCAATAAAGTATCAAGAAAGTCGGTGCCCAAAACACCGTATGAGTTGTGGACAGAAAGAGTACCCTCACTAAACACTTGAGTGTGTGGGGGAGCCCTGCTGAGGCTAAAGTATTTAACCCAAATATTAGAAAACTAGATCCCAAAATAGTAAGTTGCCATTTCATTGGCTACAAAGAAAAGTTAAAAGGTTTTCGTTTCTACTATCCAGAGTGACATACAAAGTTTGTGAAAACGAGACACGCTGTCTTCCTAGAGGACGAAAAGATGAGGGGAGCAACAACAGCCTCAAATAGAAGATGTGCCAAATGTGAAGGCCCCTAGTAGGTCTCAAAGAGTTAGAAAATCAGCTTTTTCTGCTGATTATGAAGTGTATAACACTAAGGAATTCCAAATGGAAGATGAAATAAAATCGATGAATGTCAATAAAGTTTGGGATTTGAAAATAATTCCTAAGAGTCAAAACAGTAGGCTATAAATAGGTCTACAAGACTAAACATGACTCTCAAGGGAATATAGAGACATAAAGTGTGACTTGTGGCAAAAGGCTTTATGCAAAGAGAATGGATTGATTACAATGAGACTGTTTCTCCAGTCTCATGTAAAGTTTTCTTCAGAATCATAATGGCATTAGTGGCACATTACGATTAAGAATTACATCATATGAATGTAAAGACGGCATTTCTCAACAGAGACTTGGAGAAAAATGTTTACATGGCACAACCGAAAAGTTTTGTCATGGAAGGAAAAGAACGAATGGGATACCGTCTAAAGAAATCCATTTATGGATTAAAGCAAGCTTCAAAACAGTGGTACTTGAAGTTTGATCGGTCAATAAAGAATTTTGGGTTTTAAAGAGAATATAGAGGACAATTGTGTCTATGCAAAGTTTAAGATTGAGAAGCTTATCTTCCTTATCCTATATGTAAATGATATCTTACTTGCTAGTAGTGATGTCAGTCTACTACAGGAGACAAAGAAGTTTTGTTCTCAAAACTTGATATGAAAGATCTTGAGGAAGCCTCGTTCGTTCTAGGGATCGAGATTCACCGAGATAGAAGAAAAATGGTATAATGATTGTCACAAAAGGCATACATGGAAAAGATCTTAAAGAAATTCAGTATCCACAAATGTAATCCCTCACCTGCTCCTATAGTAAAGGGCGACAGATATGGGGATTTTCAATGCCCCAGGAACCAATATGAGCTCAATTGATAAAGTGAAAGTGGTTCCATATACTTCAGCTGTCGGAAGCTTGCAACATGCTCAAGTATGTACACGCCCTGACTTGGCATTTGTTACCGGGTTTTACTTGGCATTCCCAGAGCAATTACGGAATAGAACACTAAAATTAGTAAAGAAAGTCTTGCATTATTTGCAAGGAACGAAAAGGCATCATGATGACATATAGAAGATCCGATTCACTCCACATGGTGGGATATTCAGATTCGATTATGCGAGAGTGAATGCATATCCGCACGTGGATTTTCTATCATCTCGCAAAGGGAGCTATTTCATGGAAAAGCTCAAAAGCAAACTGTCACTACATCGTCCACAATGTATGACAGTCAGAAGGCGTGTTATGAGGCAAGCAGGCAAGTGAACTAACTAACGAAGTTCATACCCGGTTTGAAAATGGTTGACGACATCTATAGACCACTAAAGTAAATCTGCGATTATAATATGGCAAGATAGGATGCTCACAACATAAGTCAAGTGGTCTTTGCCAAACACATTGACATAGAGTATTATGTTGTGAAAGATAAAGTCCGGGATCAAGTCATAAGTCTTGATGCGCGGATCCGCTTACAAAAGGCTTACCACCCAACATGTTCAGAGGACATGGTGTTCAGAGAACATGTAGCTAGCTTGGGTTTAAGGAAAGCCTAAAATATTCTCGGACAAAAGAAGGCCCAAAGATAAGTATCTATTTTAAATCGAGTAGTGAGTTGTAGTCGTTAAATCTATCGGCAATGGACCGTGACGATGAGACATGCTCTATGAGCTAATCTGTAATGGAATGAACAAAAGTAAATGATATGAAAGTGAAAGATGGAATGAGATCAAGGGGGAAAATGTTAGTTGATCTCCACCATAGGCACAACGGTCTATTGGGCCCTTATCTCTGCTCCCTGATCGGGGGAGCCCAACCCTAATCCGGTTGGTGGGCCCCTGTCGCACAGCACGCATAAAAGGAAGATGGGGTGAGGGCTCGGACTACGAGGTTCGCCGTGAGCCGCCATTCCCACCTACAGTAACACTAATCCGATCTAAAGGCCGTGCTGCCAGCGACGGGATGAGCCCCCAACCACCGCCATCGACCCACTGCAGGGTCACCACCGGACCGCTGTCTCTCCACTAGCGCCACTGGACTTCACCGCCACCGCGCTGGACGTCTTCTACACTACGGCACCGGCGTCTACCCGCTACAATGCATCTATTGAGAAGGCGAGGAGTCTACCCGAATCTACGAGTCACACAGAGGTATCAATCCTAGGATCCTAACATGAATGTCCGATCATACTCATGCTAGAAGTAGGTCGGACGACGAGCATGGCAGACAGGCAGAGTTGCCACTTCGCTGTACTATTCAGCAAGTTTTCGGTCATCGCAGTCATTTTGGCGTCATGGTCAGGTAAATCCTGTGTGTAAACCTTGGCGCCACTTTCGACCCACTGCGGTGGTCAGTGGACAGGGGTCACCGCTCGCCAGTGCAACACAACAGTTAGTGCCCGAGTCAGCATGGCAAACTGCCATAGTGCCATGCCATTCCTTTCCGGCTTTCCGGCTTCCCCAACGTGTTGCATTGACCCGTGGATGCGAAGTCAGCATGGGATCGTGCACTTCCTGTTTGCAGATCAATTGATAATTGCCACTGCGGATTACTGAAACAAAGTTGCCAGCCTACCACCCATCCCACTGAACAAGCGTCTTCGTCTTATTTTAACCATCCGTCCAGTGATACTCGAGGCTTGAATTGATCCACAAAGTGCCAGTGCCAGGTGGATAAACTTTTTCTTCCTGCAGTGCAACTTAGATATGATCCACAATTCCACATCCACCAGTGGAATCCAAATTCTGAAACTTTTTTTATGACAAGCTAGCAGGAAAGAAGAGAAGGGAAGGCTCTGAACTTTTTAGCTACTACTACTCTACTACTAGTAGTTCGTATTCGTACCAATCAACACCAACAAAGGCCAGCGTACCACTCCCATCCCAGCGCAAATAAAGCACCCGGTGCATAAAAAAACTCAGAAACAAACTCTTATCTTATCCCATATCCCTGCCATTAAACATTTAAACTAGTGTCCATTGGACCTTTTTGCATTGATCGGCGTATCTCATTTCAGGGATCGGATTAGGTTGACCTATGCTGTGTGTGAGTGCTCCTGCAACCTGCAAGAGTTCTTTTGCGTTTCTTTTTGCCCTTTGTGCCGACTTGGCACGCTGCACTTTGCGCTTTCAATCCAACTCCTAAACAAGGTGGCATGTGCGCTATTAGGTCTGGCAGAGAGTGCGCGTTGTGTGCTTGGGCGTTGAACTACTTCAACTGACTGGGCTAAAGTGATGCGCGTCCGCCCAACCACTGTCGTCAGCGTTGAACCCCGGGGTGCTGGTGCTGCTTTGCTTGCTTCATCCACGTGCGACGTGCCCTGATCAGAATATGCCGAGAGGGACAATCATGCAGTGCAATGCAAGCACAAGAACCAGGATCACTGGATCAGGCTTGGTTCCGCGGCGGCGGCGACGGCAGACGGCGGAGGAGCGTGGCAGCGCGCCGAGGAGGTCGCCGTACCAAACTCTGCCACGCGACAGCGAACGTTTTGTCATGTCATGGTGATGAACCACCGATCTCCGGTGGGAATCATCACCACGCCAACCGCCAAGGGGGTCCCCGTCCATGTGGCATTTTTCATCACTCCACAGTTCGTACTGCCATGCCATGTGCTAACTCATCACTGTGCAGTAGGACTAATGCGTCGAAATCTTCAAATCGACACAGCGCAACCTTGACTGCTCGTAATAAGTCCTTTTAAATAGTAAATTTAGCCGTACAACTTCTCAATCAAACTAGTGTTTAGCACAAGTAGTCCGAGCCCAAAAGGGTTGGAGTTGGAACCAATGTACAGTGCTGTCTAGTCCCAAAAGAATGCAATTTTAGGTTTAGTCAAATTAGTCTAAATAATATATTATAAAAATATATCTCATAATAAGTTTAATGATAATTATTTGATAACAGAAATATTAGTAATTTTTATTAAAAGTTAAACAAACTGAGGATGTTTTGATTTAACACTCTCACGTGACCTCAGAGCAGAGCAGAGCAGCTGTACGGCGATTGATTTTTAGAGAAGGTGGCAATGACATATTCCCTCGGGGATCAAAAAACGATGACGTCGACTTGCTAAATATCAAGATGAAAAGGAACACAGGCTACCATTCTTGGTTCACAGCACCAAGAAAATAGGCATCATGCATTCCCGAGCAGTTCCAGGGGAGCTGATTGCATGTGAAATCGAATTACCCAGAAGACCAGAACAGAATCCTGTGGTAAACACACTATCACCCAATTGAAACGGAGATCATCCTTACCAAAGCTCATTGCATGCATATTAATTAATTAATTACTCGAGTATTTACAAATTGTACAGAGCTGGTACTGCAACGCTGCAGCGTTTCAGCTGCAACAAACACTCTTTATCACCCAATCGAGAGCCATGAAATGATCCCCCAACTTCCTCATTCCCAGATTGCTACGCCTACGCTACGCATTACCAACCAGAGGCACAGACAGGCACTACTGAAATCTTACGATCAGTAAACGAAACCGCAAGAGGCGAGGATGGAATTTAACCGAAAGGATTGCTTCGCTTTCGGATTGGACGATTCCTCTGCCGCCTACGCCAGGAACGGCGGCATGGCGCTGTAGTAGGTGGGCTTCCACCCAGCGTCGTCCCCGTCCTGGGGCCGCGCGCCGCAGCGGCGGCACCGCTCGCCGGGAGGCAGCTGGAAGGGACAGGATCCGGCGGCAGGAAGGGCAGGACGAGTGGCCCCGCAGCCACTTGTCGATGCAGGCGGCGTGGAAGGCGTGGCCGCACTGGGGCAGCACGCGCATGGACTCGCCCTCCTCGAACTCCGCCAGGCAGATGGCGCACTCCGCCGCCTCCGCCTCCGCCGGCTCCCCCTGACTCCGCCGCGTCCCCTCCTGCGGCGGATGCCGGCGCGACGTACGGCACGGTGGGGATCTTGCGGAGCACCGACTTCTTGACGCCCCTGTTGGCCGCCGCCTGCGCGCGGCCGCGCCCGCACGCGCACCGCGCCACGAGGCCGATGCCGAGCACGGTGATGAGCGCGCAGAGCAGCGAGGCGAGCACGATCACGACGTCGTGGTCGTCGGGCCTGTCCGACCCCGCCGCGCCCACCGGGCTGCTCCCCCACATCAGCTTCCTCGCCACCCCGTGCATCCTCGCTCGCACTGTTCGCTCACGGGCGGGCTTATCGTCGCAGTCGCCGTCGCAGGCGCAGGGGAGGAGGAAGCTGACAAAGTGTGTGTGTGGGAAGGGGAGCGAGGGATGGCCCTGCCTTTTATATATAGAAACAGATCCCGGTGTCTCTGTTTGCTGCCTTTCGGAGGAGCGGATAAATAAATAAAAGCAGCCAATCTCCGGGGTTTAGGGTGTGTGAAGTGTACTATAGGAGTACTACAAAAATAGCGTCTTCTCCGACGTGGTTTTCCTACGTTTTGGACCTCTTTCCATGCTGGCTTCGGTGTTTTTCTCGCTTTGAAACTGTTCATACGAGGAATATGCTCCGAATATATATGTCTATACTATTCGAGCAATCGAGCTTTGTGTTGCCTACGACGAAACGAAGCTGGATACAAAACTAATTTGAGGTAGCGTGGAGTATATGTATATCCATTCATTCAGAACAGAAAAAACAGATTTTTCTGGCTTTAAGGTGTCAAGCGTAGCGTAAGACAACACGTTATTTGGACACACTTGATCTATTCATTCAAATTTAGAAACTTCTCGAATCATTGCGTGGAAAAGACTGTTCCAACGGGTCTGTTATGAAAGAAAAATACTGTTCGACTGGTTTGATAAATAGTGAACTATAAGGAGGATCAGCCGGCTGGCTGGATGAATCCAGACCAGCGAACTGACCCAAAGGGGGCATCGGGTTCTTTCTAATCTTATGGTTTGAAAAGTCCGCCATATGGATAAACTAGTGGTGTACCTAGATAATATTTATATTATTCAGAGAAATGAACGAAAATAGGATTTAGTACTAGTTGGACGGTGGCTTCATTGATGACTTTGTGTTCTTGCTTATTTCCGTGGCAAATGTTAAGCGTGTATTAATATTATCACACGAAGGATCGAATCGACGAGCCCAATGTAATCTGTCTAATTTTAGCTTCATAAGCCTTGTACGGTAGCACTGCTAACAAAAGTCCTCTGGTCTGCTCTCTTCTTGGCGACAAAGGAAATGTAATAGCAATTTCATGTATGTACATTAAGCGACCGACGAATCCATACGGTACATTCCCCTATATCGGTACCAGAACAAAACGTACGTATGCATTTGCAATCAATGTCTTACGGTTCATTCCCCTATCGACGATGAAAGCACACGTAGGAGCTTCACGCGCAACGGATCGCCCATGATTTTCTCTCCAGTGTAACGTCTAGCGACGAACTAGTGTGCGGCTAGCCGTCTAAGTCCGGCAGCAGTGCTGCAGCACCCGGGATGCAGATGCAGATGGGCACACTTTTACAGAGACCGACAGATACATACTGAGTACTCCGTACCGTAGTGGCCGAGGAGCGAGGAGGTACAGCTAGCTTTCGTTCCGGAGGACGGTGGTGGCACGGCCACGGCAGCATTCGATTCTTCGGGGCCCGGCCGGGCCATGTGCGCGTGGTGCGCCCGGATCCCAACCCGGTTGTTCCGGCCCCGGCAGGCCCCCGAAGAGTGCACGTCACGCCACGGGGTTCGGTTGCAGGCTTTCCGCTTCCATCCGGCGGCGGTTGCCTCGGTGCCCCCCGCCGCCCCCGCTAATCCCGGCGAGGCCGGTCCCGGTCCCGGTCCGCCCCGTCCGCGTCGTCGTCCGTTTCGGCCGGAGCGATCGCTGTCGCCGCCTCTCACTGAGTGAACAACCGTCGCGGCGAGGCGTTGGCGAGACACTTTCCGCTGCCCTCTCGCCCAAGGTTTCTTGCTGGGGAAACGCAGCACCGTTCGTACGGTTTGGAGCGGAAATGCGTGGTCCTGGTCTGGTCTGTCTTTAGCAGCGCCGGCCGGTGCCGGGTCGCGGGAGGTGTCGTCCGGAGGTGGCGCTCACGCCGTTGGCGTGGAATGGAAATGGCCGGTGCAGGTGCAACCGTGCAGAGGATGGTCCTGGTGCTGGTGCAGGGAACCGCCGACTCGGAAGTCTTATCCTAGAAAACAGCCTGCTCGATCTCGAGGGGGGGGGTATTATTCAGACGCAAATAATCTCCCCGTCTGATCATTTCGCACCTGAAAAATATCTCCAGCTTTTGAACCCGCACCTGGGCTGGGCCGTCACCAAGAGCTCAGTTCGCAGTCGCAGGTGCCTCCGGGAACCCGCATAAATGAGACGTGACACACACACACGGTGCACGGTTCAGTGCGTGGGTTTGCACAACCGCTTTACATCTTCTTGATGCCGTGTTTGCCGCAGCAGCGGTCCAGCCAGGCGATATTTGTTTGTTCGTTCTTTTTTCTTTTGATTTGATGAATGATTGAGAAAGAGCCGGGCGATATTTGTTGACACATCATTGTAATTCATTCATTCATGCATGGCTCCTGGTGGACGCCTGTTGCCGTCGCGTTCGCGGAAATGCCCCGGACCACCAACGCCACCGCCAATTCGCCACGCGGCACACGGCGAGGAATAATCCCACGCACATTTTGAGCCATGCCTGTACACTGGCCATGACAGTTCCTCAGTTTGGACGCTGAGGGATACTAGACCTGAAATGGTGGTCAGGAATCAACGCTCTCCGTGTCTCTGGAGCCTGGATGAATCGGTCGGAGAGTAGCGGCCACTTTCACTTCTATACCACGAGGGGAAGAACAATAAAAAAACGGAAAGAAACACCCACCTTTTCACTTTCATATCACAAGGGAGCAATAACAAACTATATAATATTTATCCGGCACTTTTTCAACATATATAAACACGGAGATCAGTGTATCTTTAACACGTGCAGGGCAATAACAAACTATATAGCATTAGTCGATGACAATTGACAAATGACAAGTACCGTCACTTTTTATCCAAGAATGGCTCACGATGAAGAGGGGCCCGATTCCGCGGAGTCACAACCACCCACTTACTCTTTTTTTTTTTTTTTTGAGATAACCACCCACTTACTTATTCCTCGCGGATTACACGAGTTTAACAGCCACAAGTCGTGCAAAAAGCGGGAGTAAAATATGATTGCAGCCACTCAGGCCGAGATAAACTCGTGGTCATGGGCAGTCCAGGCGAGCGAGTGCACGATGCCTCATGCGGATTTGAGATAGCTTGGACAGTTGACATATAGTACAAGATTATCCAAACATCGACAGGTCTCCACCAGAAGAGATAGGGAAAATCGATCCAGATTAGCGAATAGATTTAGCAAATTTGTAAATAAGGAGCACGTTTGTAGTTATCGCCTTGTTCTGAGTATGGCCAGGTGCAGCTAATTAGGTTTGGAGACATGACATCCTTATCACTTGCACTTCACTACTAGAACTGGCAATAGGGGTACCCTCGTTATCCTACTCATCATCGCTTCCATAACTTCAGTGTTTATGGTTGCTAGTGCCTAAATTGATCTTAATTTCCATGAATCTGATACAAAAAAATCATGAACTAATCTGTCAGATGTAAGAGCTAAGAACTACTATACAATAATAACCGAGCAGAGAAACATGTGTTTCGGAAGACCACTCCAAAAAAATTGATATAGTAGTATTTCACGGTAACCTGGACAGCTGATCTTTCTGGGGGTTACTGGGATCGAACACCGGGAGCTGGTGCGGCCGAGGCCCGGCAGACCTTTGGCTCGAACCACCAGGATCTCTGAAGCTTCTTGCTGCAGGGTCTGCAATCAGAGGTCCACCAAAGAATATGGACTGCCCGGTGTATAGAAGCTCAGGATGGCCAGAGCGAGAGCTGGATCCCTGGTTTGCCTGCGCAGACATGAACCTGCCAGCTTCCTGATCCCAGTAAACAGATGACCGGGAGGATCTGTCCGCTTGTGGTGGAGGGTAGGACTTCCCTGCGTTGGTGATTTCACTGACACTTGCTTTTGCTGAGAATGGAGACCTGTTTGCTGATGTCTGGTAGATTGGGTTGAAATGCTTGGAGGGATGGTGCTCGGCAAGAGGAGTTGGAGTCCGTGAGTTGCTCTGGAAGCTGCTCGGTGTCTGGGGGTACAGCTCGATGTCATCTGCACTTGCTCTGCTGGGTGGATAAGAGGGCTTGTACTGCGAATTCCCACAAGACTGAGGGTACCTATGGTGTCCCGTATCAGCACTTATGACACTGCTTCTGGTACTGAGGTTATCACTGTCTGCCTCATACTGGTTGCGGGTATTGATCGGTTTCAGCACGGACGAAGAGGCTCTGGCTTTTGCTGCTGCTTTCATGGCCTCATTTGAATCGAGCTTCGCAAGCTTCCACGCACTGATGCGGACTGGACGTTTAGGATGGGTTTTGATTCTTTCCATTGGGTCTGTGGTATCAGGATCAACAGTTGAAGGGACTCGGCCAGGCTCCAGATGTGGGATGATTTCGTCCTGCAATGTGATGCAGACAGGATCAAATATATGCAGGATGACTCGCTCTGAAGGAAAAGATAGGTGCAACTTATATTCGCAAACAACTGTGACAGGCCGAACAGCACTAATTTTGATAGATTATCTAGGATAGTGTGAGTTTCTGATAAGATTTGTTGAAGCTGAAAGAATAGACCGCACATCAAATTGTGGTGCCTTCAATTATACTCACTCCAGTCACAAATAAGTGACGTGTTGGACTCGAAACGGTCTTCAGAATGCAACTTTGACTAGTACTTTTTATTACAAGATATTATGAAACATAGCAAAAGTACACTTTTATGAAAATATATTTCAAGACAAATCTACTCATGCCATTAAACTCAACACATAAAGAGTAATTTGTAAACAAAGTTTAAAATGATTGACTTATGGCAACCCAAAACGTGACTGCAGGGAGTAGACCATGAACACAAGACAATGGTACAATTAGTACCTGGTCAATGAAGATACGTGGGGGAGTGCACCATGCGCCTTTGTAGTGCCGTGCAAACAAGCTCCCACTAAAACCTGTTGGTGTAGAACTCATTGGAGAAGAAGCCAAACTTTGTTGGTCATCAATGACAGAAGGTCCAGGAGGTTCACTCTGAGCCCTCATGGCCACAACATATTCATAAGTTGTTATGCCCTGAAAAACATTGTGCAACAAGAGTAACCATATTACATGATGCATTCTTGGACACGATCTAATAAAATGGAACAAATAATGACAAGTGACAACAAAGTGACTAACCTTCCGGATTAATATCATATGGAAGAAAAATAGTTCTCCTAGTGGTACTGAAGCAAGCATAGAAAGAGCTGTAGCCAGGGCCTGGAGTCAGAGAGATTTCTTTGTCAAGAACTCAAGATTATGACAGTTTACTAACCATACCATATCATAATTCATAAACAGTTGACAATTAACTATCTCAGAGTCATCACAGTTTACAGGACATCTGTGCCCGCTCAATTTGACAGTTTAAGGTACTGCCAGTATTATCTTCCTCAGCTATGATCATCTTTCTCTCTTCTTAGTGCATGTGTACGTAGTCAGCATGGACCTTGGATTTTCAGCTAAGACCTAAACCTCAATTGGACTAAAGGTTAAGTAAAATGCCTTGTTTGGACAAAGACTATTACTGTGGATTGTAGCAAATGTGCAATACACTCAGCATTGGTTGTGCTGGATTACAATTTCTGCTTCTAAAAGTTAGCAATTCCTTATTTTCACCTCTAGATAAGATTGGCCCCTTTTCATACTAAGTTGTATTGAACTCCATATCTTGTCTTACCTCAACAGCCTAATTAAAGTTAGTACCTACCAGTTTGATTGTGATTATCACAAGGATCCTGAAATAGCGATGATAAAGCTTGCAAAATTAATAAAATGTACATGAAAAATTCTGTAACTATATAACAGGAAAAAAAAACTCACATTGTAAGAGAAACTAGACTAATAAATTAAAAAAAATCAATAGTTTAATACTTACCACAATGGTTGCAAAGGGTGCTCGTGAAAGACCATAGCCCAGCTTTTCCACAATCTGATCTTCTATTGCCGTCTTATCAGTGAAGCAACGAACAAAAACAGCAATACCAACTCCACACTCAACAGCAAGCTGAATTTACAATAATGGCAACTAATCACAAAAAAATGCTTTTGGAATAATCCACAAGATACAAGCTTATTGGTATTTAAAAGGATGTAAAGTTCAGTCAGAAATATTAACATTCCATGATTTTTAACATACCCAAGCCAGACTCACAGCCATAAGGCATAAAAATGTGATATAATTTTTTCTTCCAACACAATTGTTCAGCCACTGCATCAAAAGATAAAACACAGGTTTGAGTACTAACAATAACAAAAGGAAAAAATCAACAAAAAGTAGAAAAGGCAAAGAAAGCCAAATTAGGTAGAGAAGATTTTATATAATACTCGGCAGTGATGATCAAACCCATCAACGCACTTGTCGCAACTCCGACAATGCTTGCTATGTGTGCGCACCTGTATCAGAATACAAAGGAAACTGCACTTAGTGTCAACTAAAACTTTATGTTGATACCATGTGTCCAAACATAAAGTGCACTGAAGATTAATACAAAGAAAAAATATAAGCAAGCATCATGGCAAATGAAGATGCCAACTGCTGGCTTCAAAATAAAACAGAAGCACCGAATAGTCGTGAAAATATATAAACGAGTCATTTTCTTATGCTTAAATAAAAACTTTGTTGCATAAAAAACTATCTAGCTTGCAATTGTAATAACATTCCAAACAGTGCTGTATTGAGAGTACCTGGAACTACATGAATACAAAAAGATCGCTAATATTTTTTTAGGCACCAACTCATAGCATCGGTTATGCTGCAAGCAACAGTTTTGGTTTTCAGGTACATGGGTACTTAATAAATTGGTAAACTAGAAGCAAAGAACCAATAATATATACTCTTGGTAAGATAAAGAGAAATTGGGTCGAACAGAAATATAGCACACCATGCACATCAAATAGGGTTGGGGCTCAGCATAAAGTACCTCCGCGTTGCAAAGGGTGCAAAAGAGTGCCTCTTCACCATAATCTTCTTCATGGTTAGCTTCATCCTCTTCGCGACAGTCCCCAGTTGTAAAAATAGCGCAACAAAAACAAACCCTTCCAAAGCATGATTTATGCTTTTGGATATCCTCACCGTCACCGGTTCTCAATCCTGGCTTACCAGCTTCTTCTTGAGTGTCTACAGGTGCTTTTAACCAGAAGATGAAGATGTATTAGTAAATAAAGTGATAGGGTGCAAAATAGAACTATAGAAGCATTGTTAATGAGCAAGATATACCTTCTGATTTATAAAATAGTGTGCCATCCATGGAAATCAGGATGCCAGGGTCAGCGGGATCAATCGCAGTACATCTAACATATAGAATCAGCACGGATAAGGCCTGGCAAAACAGAAAACAAATATCAAAGCAGTGATCACTTGCTCAGGTATTAAATCCAAGCATGGTAGGGTGGAATCTTACCAGAAAACTATAAATACCCACAGCGATATATTCATACAAGTCCTTCCCAAGAAATGGAGAGAAGAAAGCATAGAATGCCATACAAAGCAAGAAGTACACTGTTATAGCCACCACCTGGAAAAAATATATATTTAAATGTTATTCATACAATCATACTGTTCCACTGATAAGGACCAATAGGGCATAGGTAAGGATGCATTGCCTGCAAGGATAGAATTTTAAGAGGAAGCACAAATGAAATGTAAGAGGGCCACAAGTTCAGCAGAACTGAAGGCCATGACTTCCATAATGTACATAGTAATCCCTATCTAAAACAGGAAGCTCCTAAGAGATATTACTAAACGATGAGCTTACAAGCATGTCAACTGATTATACCGTCAAATTTACAAGTGGACTTAAAATTTTATATTCACTTCCAAGAGAATTTTTTTTTTTTTATAAAACAAACTCATTAGCTTAGACTTTTCATGCTTCTTCTACAGGACACTCATAAAGTCATAGTAGCTCAGAATTTGTAGCCTTTCCCTCAAAGCTTGCACTTGCATCAAGACTTTATAGATGAGGGGCAAATAAGGTGAGCAAATGAAAGTAAACAGGATGAATTGGCTTGTGAATGGATCCAGGCCACTGCTAACTGAATGTTCATGGAAAATTCAAATTCAAAATAATGAAAATACCTACTTGATAGTATCACATAATCAATAATTTTTCCTAAGGCGAGAACTAATATTATACTCGTAGTTCATGCTTTAAAAATCTTGGTCACTAGTCACTACTCCACAATTCTGACCTCACCAGGATACCATTGTTCTCTGATAATGCATCAACAGAAGTAGGATACTACAATTCAATTCTTCATTGAATCCAGAAAAAAGGCTTTATAGCAACACACTTCACAGAGCTGCCAAAGCTAATAGCTAGGCATTGACGCTAAAATAGAATACGACAAACTCACTACGACATTCAAACTCACCGATGCATTAACAAATTTTTAATTCAGTGCAGCACATTTGATTTCGCACATCTGGCTGTAGCACAGGCAACTATTAATTGGCTGAGACAGTGGCATAAAGCTAAGGAACATACTAGTGGCAGGGTCAGATCCAGATGAATGACAACAAACAGAACGCATCAGTTATTGTTTAGGAACACGGAAGCATCCATTGTAAGGCATCACGCAAAGAAAAGTACAGTAACACATTTTAACAGCAACCCCGCTCCTTAATGAAAAACGTGCTAAGCACGTTCTCAAAAAAAAAAAAACAGCAACCCCGAAAAATAGGGTCCATGATGAATCGAATACAACATGCAGTTTAACACAACCTAACTATATCAAACCTTACAAAAATGAAGGTACACATATTTAAAAACAAGAGAACCGCAGGACCTCAACCTCAATGAGAGCGTACACGTCACTCCGATTAATTATGGCCGTCCGATCTTTGATCCTACGGCAGATGTTGCTTGAATCCGCTTCTGTCCGGAGCATCTTCTTGTAGCTTCTGTTGCTTCCGCTTCTACTCAACACCAAATATATATCCGGCTTCCGATTCACAGCACACACTCCTCTCTCTCGTGCCCGCCTCTCCTCTAGTCCTCCCTCTCCCTCTCTCTTGGCTAGGGCGGGCCCAATCTCGCGTCCCGGCGGCGGCGGCGGCGGCGGCGGCGTGGCAAGCCCCCGGCGAGGAAGGCCCCCTGCGTGGTGGCTCGACACGCCCCCCCCCCCGGCGCGGCAGCCCTGGCATGGACGGGCCCCGATGCAGTGGCGGTGCGGTGCCCCGGCGCGGGCATGCTCCAGCGGCGGCCATCGGCGCAAGGCGAGCGCGCCTGCCTCTCCCACCTCCCTCCTCTCTCGTTGCTCCGGGCGGGGTGCGAGGGTGCTCCCTGGGGTAAACGGGTGTCAGCCTTTGCTGGGGTCGATCCGGGACCTCCACGACCGGATCCAGGACCTCCATGGACGGATCCGTTCGTTCCCCTACCGGATCTGGCCTGAAGGCGTCCTCTCGCAGCGTCCAGCGTAGAGGGATGCGGCATGGGGGCGTCCTGCTGATGTGTGCTTGGTACATGGTGTTTATAGACTGCAGTTGCATTTACCGAATTTACGTATGTCCTTAGGAGCCACTGTTACTGATTTTCAGGTCACTGTGCGGAAGGGGTTATTAGTTGCTGGTTGCTGGGTTTTGTAGCTATTGCTGCCCTCTCTTTTGTGCATATGCAGCAGTAGCATGTTGCCAATGTAAGTTGTCTTTATCTTGCATACGTCCGGCACGGTTGTTTACTTTAGAAGTAGAAAATTTAACGAACCAAGGAATGGTCTCTAGGTCCATGTGATTTGAAACATGATTTTTATTGTAGTGAGGTGTGCGACGTTACTTGCGACTACTGAAACAAAAAAGAGGTAGTGTGTTAAATAGCTTCGAAGTGCATAGTTCATATGGAGTGAAAATGATGGCCTGTGTATTCTGGAATTTCTTTTGGGTACTTTGTAGGTCTCATGATTGATTTTTTTTCATGGCCACAATGGCCATTGCTAGATTATCAATTTAGACTTACCATTATGCAGGTGTGCAAGATTAGCACGATTAGCACTGCCGTGGCAAGGAGCTCCTGGCGCGCCAATCTATGCAGGTTTCGTTTGTCCTGGTAAGATTCGTGCCGTACCCCTATAATGTTTCTGTGAATTTCTCTTATGTCACCCTTGGGAGTACCCTGTACACATCATGCTTCTTGTGCCACAATCTTTGTATTCCTCACCTAAGCTTGGCACTTATTCTTATTACTCTTTACTGTTAGTCTACAACAACTATAGTACTAAGTTATTTTCCTTCCTAAAATGATGCTGTCTTTTTTTGCTCTTACTGTTTGCTTCTATAAAATACCAGCTGCAAGGAAAATACTCACCTTTTTTATGCTTGATGTATATTTCAGTTTTAAGTTCTTAGTGCTAGATGGGAACTGATGTATATTCGGTTGCATAGAAAACCTTCAGAATACATTACCACTTGGTTGTGGTGTTTTCCAATCTGAATTGGCCAAGTTGACTCAGGCTTCTATTGTGTGGTTTCTAGATGACCTAAAAACTTAGTTACCTTGTAAACTTCAATCATTCCCTGCAATTTGTTTTCTAACTTGGAAAAACTTATTTGGTGTGTGAGTGTTTCTAACTTTTCATAAATCAGTTTAGAACAATCAGCTTGTATTTTAAATTATTTCAGTTGTCCCTTTGATTCCTTTAATTCAACCAATATTTGTCATTCATTTATGGTCCAAATAGCAAGTCAAAAATTTTGTATGCATGCTGGTGCTGATGGATCAGGATCATACATTTGACCACATATGTAGTTACCGGATGCCTGGACTTGTAACATCTTCGTTTTGTAGCCATAAGAAAGTCTTCCTTTTTTCCAGAACAGTTGGTTTAAGTAGACGAAAAGAGGTGAGGTTATTCCAATTGTATCTTTTTTAATGTTAATTGATGATATACCCTTAAGGTATTATCTGGTTCAGATTATAACAGTCAAGGCAACCAACGAGCGTATTGTGCTATATCTGATTAAAAATTATATGTTCACTTATCTGAGCGAATTCCTTTATAAGTCTAAGCCTGAATTGTCAGTTGTGATTGATAATTTTCTACTTGGCTGGTGTTCTACTAACTGCTCGATAAGTGTATATTTTTGGTTGCTACCTATAGATGCATTGTTGTGTCATGCACAGATGATTATCAGTGGTTTAGCAAATATAATGCCTGGGCTGACATCTCTTTTCCTATTTCAAGTATGGAATGAAATGGTTCAATCCAATATGTTTTTGTGCATGTCGTAGGAATTTTAATGTAATACAATCCTTCGATATTACCATTTAATGTTTCATGACATGTGGAAGTTGCTTCAGGGTTAGTTAATAATCTTATTCAAATGAAAGATTGTTAGAACCTCCCTATCTAAGACAGCTCAAATATTTGTGCTATGATATTATTTTAAAATCCAACCAGCAATGGATTGTTTTACTACTCTTTGTAGGGATACATATTTGTAATGAATTGTGTAACCATAGATTTATAATGAGTCCCTTTGTTAAATCCCAGTAAGGTAGATTTATATGATAATAAAACCTGAGACTCATGCTTTGTTGTATGTAACTATTCAGGTCTAGAGTTCAGAGATCCGCACGCTCGAGAATAAGATGGTTTGCGTCTCCAAAAACAAGAACCCTTGATAAGTCTGCATAAAATGGAATGTTGTTCTTCCCTGATTTAGGGTTGTGATAGCAAGTGTGTTTTTTTCCAAGGCTAAGAGGGGAAATTATGCTGGCTACCTCTTCAGTAAGCTGACCAGATAGAGCAGTGTTCTTTCGTCCTCTATTCTCTGCTCTATATTTCCAATTATATTTGGCCACTACAATGGAGATACATGTATATTTGTTGCTTTGATAGTTCCTGGTAAGATACATGTCTCCTAATAATTGTGGAAAAAAGTTTCATGTATCTATGCTTGTATGGCAGCAAACTAAAACAGTGTTGCTCAATAGTATTCTGACTTGCCTTATTCTAGAGTTGACAATTAACTATGGACTTACAGAATACAGTAATGTTAATGCATCGTGCCTCATGCCTTTCTAGATATCTAATTAGCATCGGTGATTCAGTGCTTCTACTCGGTGATTCAGATATTTCAAATGGCAGCAGATGTAGACTGATCGTAATATAAGTTGTGTTACCTAACTATTCTACCATTGGGTAATTATAGCTGCCTTTTGGGTTAATATCAACTCTTCTATCTCTTATTTATCTTCCTGGTTGTAAAGTCTTTAGTGTTACGTTCTCAGTTTATTGTACAAATTATTGCTTTATCTTCTGTTTGATGTCCTTGCATACATTTTGTAGCCTGATTTCCAAATTTTTATATACCTCTCTATTGTGTAGATTGAAACTGTGTTTTCCCTTTAAAAATGTTTTAAAGTCAAACTTATTATGTTTGCAGCCTATGTGAGCCATTTGTTCCCTTTACTGACAATACATTTCATTATATGATGCCTAGGATGCCAATTTTATGATGTTTTGATTTCTGCTTGCCTTTACGGTATACTATTCTTTTAGTGGTTTAATTAAACATCTTGTGATGCCTAGGATGCCAATTATCACGCTCCACACACCTTTCTGAAACACCACTAGACTTCAAGGATGGCGACGAAACATCTGATAATTCAGGCTGTATGTGATTTTTGGACACATGTGACATTACAGTATTCATGTAGATGATGCATACCATAGTTCCTAATACTTAGCTCCAATGCATGCTTTTGGACGTTGATCCAATGCATGTTTTTCCTTGAATTTCTAACAGCGGACGAATTCAATGTGGATAGAGAGGCTCTTGACGAATCCTACAGACAACAGCACGAAGGTGATGTCACTTAGACACTATACACCATACCTTAGAGTGTTGCTCTGTTCTTTTAGTTAGCCACTTAGCCTGCATATACTATCTGTTGCGCCCTCATCACATGCCTAGACACTATTCTCTCTAATATACAGCTCATCAGGCATGCTAGTGGCCAAGCTATTATGGCGTCGGTTTGATCCACCACCGTTCAAACACTGACAACAAAATTACAAGCTACGGTCCTTGCTTTGAAACCAAAGGTACAGCTCCGAACCAAGCTATATAGCTCCTAATGCATTTTCATTTACAGTAGTACATATCATATTCTTGTGTAGCTAAAAAAAGTAACATATGTTGTGTTGATTTAAGCAGCCTTCTCGCCCACTCCAACCTGTGAGTCTGACGGTGCTGACATATCCAACCGGAACTGGAAAAGCACCACGCCACCATGGCTCGGTAGCATCCCCTAGGAACTGCTATTTCTCTCCCGCATGTGATGGCTATTGTGATACCGTACGTCCAATGTACTACCTTAGGATCAATGTATCAGTGTGTACTAAGCTTGTGCCTTTGAACATTTACCTTGGCTATGTTAGAAGTTATGCTACTAGCGTCTAATGGTTCTCATCCCAGACATCTCTCTGTCTGCAATCTCATATGATGAAATCGCAAAGGTGTTATCACAGCGCGCATGGACGAGCGCAGATTACTAGTTAGGGAATGTAAGGTGAAAGCGCAAGGAGACAAAAGAATAGGGCGGCAGCGAAGCTGAATTTGGAGGTCAAGTCCGACATCACATCATAGACGAAAGAGCAGAACGGCCCAAGAGAATACCAACAAAAAGTGACACTTTTATTGGAGAAAGCGAAATGCCAAATCAAAACAAGACACATTCTATGCCGCAGGAGATCAGGATGTAGCGCTGCATAAAATTCAGGTAAACACCTGCCGTTAGGATAAAACCTTAGCAAAACCAAATCCATGTGCTACTACTTCGTGTTAAAATAGAGAAGTAACGGAAGTGACCAAATTCTCGCGCGCTTTTCAGAGTATACATAGCCGCTCAAACGCATCGGGAAAAGAGAAGGACAACCCATCACATCGCATCGGATCACAGGAAACTAGGCTGCCCACAGCATTCCTCGTCAAAAGCTAAGGCCCTGTTTAGTTATCAAAAATTTTCATCCAAAGTGTCGCATCGAATCTTGCGGCGCACTAAATGTAGACGAAAAAAAACTAGTTACACAGTTTGGTGAGAAATCGCGAGACGAAACTTTTAAACCTAATTAGTTCATAATTAGATACTAATTGCCAAATGCAAACGAAAGTGCTACCGTGGCCAAAACCAACCAATTTCGCCATCTAAACGCGCCCTAAGCACGTCAGATAGAAGCAGCACCAGGAAATCCGTTCCAACATCGCCCCAGAAACACCGACCGAAAACCTCCCCCACTTCCGCGGAAAACCGAGCACAGCGCGACGGGATCCGGAACCACATTGCGCGCTCAACTCGCACATTCAGAACGGAGAACAACTCATGGTGCGGGAGTAGGAGAATCGCGGGCGAACCTGCAGGGTGTGGGCGGGGAGCTGCCACCCGTGGCGCCGCGCCATGGCGGCTGCCTGCTGCAGCAGAGGCGGCGGCGGGAGGAGGAAAGGAATGGAGCCGGCCCCGGGATCAGCGGCGCGTGAGCTGCATTGCGGTGCGGCGCGAGATCCCGAGCCCGCGGCCGAAGTGGGGAAAAACCCTAGCGCCCGTACGGCCGCCGCAGCGCGTGGCTCTGTCAGGCGGCACGGCAGGCGGAGGCGAGGACTGGACACTGGACGGAGGAGTGAGGAGGAGGAGAGCAGGGGCCGAGGCGGACGTGGTCAAGACGTGAAAGTTGAAGAGGTGCGGGTGGCGATGGGCGACGGCTTTGGATTCCTCCTTGCTCTCGGGATCGGGCCGTCCGACTACTTCCAGTTGCAGTTGGTGTGTGGACTGCAATTCTGCAAACGATTTTGTTTTCCTTTTTTACTTCGTTTTACGGTAAGCCAGGCTCAGTGCTAATTTATACAAATATTATTTTTTAGAAACTATGTTTTAATAGTAGTTTTTTATAGAATAATTTTTTATTCAATCATACGTCGTCGCCCCTGTTCGCTTCAACTTATCAGCCTGACTATGGTATAGTATTTTTCTCCCACAGCAAATCAGCGAACGGTACTTTTCAACCTAACTTTTCAGCGAATGATATATAAACCATCTAATTTTATAGTTGGGAGTTCCCTAAAGAATCTTACTTTTTCCTTATATAAAATATAAGTCCAATGGCACTTTTGTAAGTAATATATTTCCTTCATTTTAGAAAAAATAATGTTTTAGAATTCAAAATTTGTCTCTATAAAAATTTGATGTTTTATTTCTTAGATTCTTGGTTTGACCAACATCAGTCTAGATAGCAGCATGTATGTCTATCCATTCATTTTAATCAGTAGTTTATTTCTTAGTTAACATAGTTAACCTTCAATGCATTGATAATTTCTTATCACTAATTTATCCTAAAATTCTTCAGCCTGTTCGCTTGGTCGTATTTGGCTTATAAGCCATGGCTTATCAGCCAACGAACAGTATTTTTTTCTCACACAAAACCAGCCTACAATACTTTCAGTCATGACTTATAAGCAAAACCAGTCCAAACAAACAGGGCACTTAACATCAAGTATTTTGTGACGAGGAACGACTATATAAATATATTATTCTAAATAGAAAGAAAAGGAGTACATGTTATGAAGATTATTACGATAATGCATGTGTTCGTTTTGCTAAAATTTGGCTTATGCTGATTTATTGTGAGAGAAAAATATTATTCGTTCGCTGAAAAATACTACTAAAGTAGTGCTACAGAACAGGACGACTAACTTTCTCTCGAATCTACCTCAAGTCACCCTAAGGGACTTATTGTTATCGGGCACGCCACCTCCTGCTGAAAGTATTTGAATTTGAGTGGACAGACTCCAAGAACACAACTTACCTGAGTTACCCTCAATTTGCTAATAACACTAACCTTGTGTTGTCAATATCAGTATATAAAGAGATTTAGATATGGTCAAACTTGGCTTGGCTCTCAAAAAAAAAAAACTTAGCTTGGCTAATTTAGGAACCAGCCAAATAGAGCCTTACAATATCTTCGGTAGCCTATAACTGTCTATATCTGGCTTGGTTTATCAGCCAGCTAATAGAATTTTTCTTCTCATATTAAACCAACCCACAGTACTTTTAGCCATAGACTCGTAAACCAATCCGGCCGAAACGAATATGCCGTTAATCGTGGGCTCCTGGCCATATGGCCTTTGCCTTTTGCCTCCTCGTACACCGGACCTTCCTGTGCCATGGTGCTTCGTTTTTCTTGTGCTGGACGCTTCTTGCCCTGCTGCTTACAATACGTATAGTATTTTGTTTCTTGCTTCTTCCCCGAGTCAAATCCAGTGCGATCCGCCCTGGGAATCTGCATATAGATACAATAAATTACCGGCCTCTCTCTTTAGGCCCCATTTAGATGTGAATTTTTTTTGTTTTTGACTACTGTAGCATTTTGTTTGTATTTAGCAAAAATTGTCCAATTATGGACTATTTAGGCTTAAAAGATTTGTCTCGCCAATTACGGGCAAACTGTGCAATTAGTTATTCTTTTTACCTACATTTAATGCTCCATACATGTACCGCAAGATTTGATATGATAGGGAATTTGGATTTTGGGCCTTAATGCGGTTGACAAAGAAAATTACTGGAGCAGTAGACTATGCATGCCTCTCTCTCTTCCTCTCTTCAGACCGTCTCCAACAACCGTTACCTAAAATGCAAAACTCATTTCACATTTAGATAGTGCTATAGACAAATAGTTTAATACCTATTTTTATCTTCTCCAACAATAAAACTAAAAAAGAACCCTTTTAGCAAATGAGTCTTCAGGAAAGATGATACTCAAATTTAAGTTATATCTCTTCTGACATCAAAATGAATTTTTTATACAAATACTCTATTAAAGACTATAAATACTATGTCAGAGATCGGATTGAGGTCTTGTCTCGGAGACAGCCTACCTCTGTTCGTGCTCGCGAGGCCATGGGAGGAGGCTGGGATTGGCAACGACGTGACGCTATGATAATGCAACTGGTATAGGCTGTATCCGCCGAGACAAATCGCACGTAGTACAAACAACCGGACGGCGCGCGGGACGAAACATGACGCGGCGCACTGCTCGGGCCTAACATGATACTGTACGCACGGGCACGAGACTCCGATCCATCGATCGCCCAGTTGACATGCTTCTTTCGTGTATGTACGTACATACATAATACACCTTAATCCGACGTGTCACTTTCTCTGTTCGTATTTTATGCGCAAGGAATAAATTAACTTGGAGTCGTGCCCGTGCCGTCGTCGGTGGTCTCCATTCTCGTCCTGCTCGTGTCTCCGTAATTCGCAGTATTATTATATACTATTTTCTTTCAGAATCTCTGCTAGTAGCTGGGTAGCAGTACACTACTAGCGCCGTGTAGTGCATGCAACGCCTGTGAATTGTTTTCTTGGTTTCGTAACAGAAGGCGAGGGATGACGCCGCGCTAGCTTAGCTGGCGAAAGGTGGGCATGTGCCACTTGCGGAAAACAATCCGGCATGGAAGATCTGAGCCTGTGGAGCACGGACAACCCGCGGTCACGAGAAGACGAGTGGTCGACGAGCCTGAAAAGAGACATGCATATCCATGTGTTGTGATGATCATGCTCGCCCAGCCCACTCGCCCTCGTCGTCCGCGCAGAGGTGTGTGTCCGCCCGCACGCGCAGCTCCGTGTCGACCCTGATTGCTGTCGTGAAAAGCTATCGAGTTCACCCATCAATGCCGCTGCCGGGTTCAGCAGGGGTGTACGAATCGTAGGACAAACCGACAAAGCCATCAGATGAACTGAAAAAAGGGCATAGTTTAGTGTAATTTTACTTGGGTTTTGAAGCCAAATTTAGAACTCGTCTAGAACACGGAAATCAGTTCAGTTTTACAGAAGAAAAACGAAGGAACGAAACAAAATTCAGACGGAACAGATGGAGCCTAGGATCCGACATTAATCCCCCCAACATGTGCGGCAAATTAAGGTCCCCCGCCCCCATGTGCGCTGTTTTACGCATCTATACAATTCCGCGGCACACGGAGATCCAAATTCACTACACCCTGGACGTACGGACGCGTTCGTGCACCGACCCCAGATGGTAAAAGCCGAATCAACGTCGCTGCGACCATCTACACGCCTGTTGCATCTACGGCCTAAGCGCGCGTACATGTACATGTACATGTACCGTACTAGTAGCTGTTGGTGAGGCATCGCCGTCGCCGTATCGTGCGTACTACGCCGGTCCGTCCACCGGACGCGGGCACGCGGCTACCTCGACATGCTGGCGTTGCTCGACGTGAAGCTGCTGACGCCGCTGCTGGAGCTGGTGCCGGTGCCGGACCCTCCCAGCGCCGCGGGGTCCTTGCAGCTCCCCTTCAGCTGGCACTGCGTCTCCCGGCGGTCCGCGAAGGACAGGAACGCCCGGATGCTGCTGCGGCGGGAGCGGGAGATGGCCCCGTCGGCGCCCGTGGCCACCGCGTCCGGCGGCTGGGACGCCACGTGGATGGAGTACTGCCGGACCAGGATGCAGCCGTGGATGGCCAGCGCCGCGAGGCACGCCACGCAGCAGATGAGGAACAGCGCCGAGAAGCTCTGCACCCGCAGCCGTTCGGCCGGCTCCAGGTCCATCGTGGACTGCGGCGACGACGGCCCGTTCGACAGCCACTTGTCGTGGATCCTCTGCAGGTCGCCGTTCTCCGATAGCGCCAGGATCGCCGTCGACAGGTCCACGGCCAGCTGCGAGTCCCGCGGGAACGCCTGCCAGTGCCAGACCAAACGATTATCAGAAAACATCTGCAGCAGAACAACAGCTCATCGAGCTGTACGTATGCATGAGTTGAAGGTGAATAGCGACTCACGAAGCCCCAGCCGCTCTTGGTGAACTCGGCGCCCACGATCGCGACCTTGTCGTGCTGGAGCAGGAAGAGCTCGACGTACGGAAGCTCGTCGACGACGGCCACGACGCCTCCTTTGCGAGGGCCGAGGTCTAGCGCCTGCTTGTACTCGTCCGGGGTGCCCAGCGCCTTGAGCCTCGACGGGGAGACGCCCAGCTCGTGCACCAGGTAGCTCTCCGCGAAGGACCCGACCTGGAACCCGATGGGCTCGTCGCTGCCGATCAGGTTGTCGATGCCCGTGATCGGGGACGTCAGCTGCTGCACGGTGAGGATGGAGGTCAGGCTAGCGGTGTAGCTGGACTGGATGATCAGGACGACGAACAGCCAGATGATGATCACGAAGCGGCCGAGCGTGCTCCTGGTGTCTTCTCCTGTAAAAAGTCCAAGATGCAGAAATGACTCCTCCTGAGCATGTTTGCGGAGTTTTGTCTTGATTCTTGTGCAGAAATGTAAAGAGCTGCATTTCACTTACTGTGGGCAAAGAACAGAGTTGAGAAACTGAACCTGCAAAGTGCATATATATAGCATGTTAAGTATGTGATATTCGACAGACAGCCAAAATCTATGCACAAGAAGCAGAGAAATGTTTTCAACAAGCAAAATTGATCTGCTTATTCTTCCAACCCGCCTTGTAAGATGACAGTAAGTTGATGGCAAACATTAAGGAAATTAATAAGCAAATGTAAATACATGTTAGACAGTAAGGACTCACCAGAAAACAGTAATAACCTGTTTCACTGGAGGACCGCGGAACTCATCATTGATTCTGTGCTCGAGCAACCAAATCACTGTTCCTATGATCAGAAAGAAAATTCCTGTCACAGACCACATTCTGATGGTAAATGGCTGCAGGAAAGCCCATCCATTCGAGCTCTGTGTCTTAACAGCGGTAAGTATGACAAGCCCAGAACCAACGTATGGTTGGGTGAAATCAACAACTTTTGTCCGATTTGTGACAATAGCTACATCCCCAACAACAGCATCAAATTCCTAGAAAAAGAAAAACGACTATTAAAACATGACTCAGTAACACATACTAATTGTAAATGAAGCTTATTTCAGAAATAGAAAATAGAACTTACATTCGTCACAATTCGACTGATAAGTTCTGTGTAGCTTGGATTCTCACGGCCATTGCCAAAAGGTATAAACCTATATGTAACTGGGTATTGCAACAGGTTTATTGCAGCAGCAAACACATCAATACAGAAACCTCCCACCGTTTCAGTTTGATTGTCAACTGATACAAATTGACGGTAACTTACCCTATTGGGAACTCCAATTCTCAGCTCATTTCCATTGTTAGGGAACACCCATCCCCGGGGCCTCGTTACAGTCTCACCTGGCCAGATTGCAGCGTGGAGTTCCTGATTTGCACTGACATTGTATGGTTTCTTGTATAGTGTCTCAGGAGACACAATGGACAGCCCAGAATAGTTGGACCAATAACCAATTGTCCGCAAACCAGACCCTATTATGTTCACAATGTCATATGCAGGCTGGATAAGATTACCATCTGAATCCAACTTTACAGGGCCAGTTGCACCCATGAAATTTACTTTGCGGATTTTTTCTAGTAATAGCATCCCCTCATCAAAGACGCTCAATGCATCCAGATTCAAAGCTCCTGCAACTGCACGCAATCTGGGGTCTGGAGAGAAGGAAATGTTTCCGCCACTATTGAAAAATGCATCCAACCCATGAGCAAGCATCCAGACAGTGTCATAAGCATAAAGGCCATAGGAATTGAGCAAGCTGCCGCTGCTGCCACTATCCTCCTTCACTAGTTTACTCCATTGTGAAACTAATGTCTTCTTCCTATCGGTGTTTTCTGTGTGCTGACGCAATGTAAGAACACCCTGCATTGTGCTTAGTAATCCATTTTCAAGACGAGGAGCTGAATCGAGGTATGCAGTGAGCCAATCTGTTGCAATCCACACATATCCACCGGATGTCATGCTAAGATTATACGCTAGTGAGAACACGTCAATTCCAGAATCATCATGTGCATGCAGTACAAAAACCCGGGACTCCATCATCGCAGCCTTGACCAGCACAGCAGCCATTTCACTCTTTTTTGCTCCTGGCCTAATTGCAGCTTTATACAAGATCTTCAATCTCCTCTTGGCAAGCTCATCATCTAAGGAGGATATGCCATTTCTTCCATAATCGTCATCAATATATACGGCTGTCACCATCTTCCACCCATAGTAATCAATTAAGCTAGCAACGGAAGCCATTTGAAATTGATCACTGTGGACGGTACGCACAAAGAAAGGATACTGAAGTGGTGTCAGAGTCGGATCAGTTGCAGCAAAGGACATCAAAGGTACTTGGAGTTCATTTGCAACATGAGATATGACGTGTGCAACAACTGAAGATTGTGGGCCGATGATTGCGATTGTATCTTTCTCCATGAATTGCAAGGCTAAGCAAGATATAAAAGGATAAGGAGTCAGTCAGGCACCATGCGGATTGTATTTTTGTAATAAGACTTAGGCACCTCCTGTCAAAAATAGTTGACGTTTAGGACAAACTATGTCAACTATTGTTAACCGGAAGCAGAAGGAGTATGTTTTATTGTCTCAATGGCAGAGAGGACTAGCTAAAAAAAGGGCAAGAGACATGAAAGGGGTACCTTGAACAATGCCGATGAAACCACTGTAGTTGGTATCTTGCATCTGAACAACCAGCTTTGTTCCCCGGAGAACACTTGGATCTTTGTTGATGTCATTGACTGCAGCAGCGATGGCAACCTTGGCAACTCTCCCAATTGTCGAATTGAATGGAAAAAGAGCTCCAATGTTTACAACACTGGGTCTCACAGAAATATTTTGTCCAAGTGCACAGGACCACAAACAGCAGAAGATGCTCAAAATATGGAGCATGAACTTCATGATTAGTCCTGACTCCAAAGGATAGCTGGGGTCTTCTTTAAAAGTCCAGCCTCCTGCTCAACATCATATGTTCTAGAAGAACCAAAAGAAAATTTCAAGATGATGCCTGTTTGGCAGATATTTTCGCTATCTAATGACTCGAGCCACTCATCAAGGAAAATTCAGGCATTTACATGATGAACTACAGACACAAATTACAAACTGGAACGAATATCAGGTATAGGTGGGGATATATTCCACATCAACATGAATTCAGGGCTCAAGAACACAAAAATGGACACTCATGGTGGAAAAAAACTGGGAATTCCATTCCATAAAAAGAAACAAAGAACAACTGGAAGGTAAAGCACCAAAACAAACTTAAAAACAGAGTTCTGATCCTAGAAGCTGTGGAGATTAAGCAACCTCTCACCTTAAGATTTGGCCATGAACTATCGGCATAACAAGCAAAATTAGAACATAAACCTAAGCATGAGCTGAGATGGGTTTGACCGCAGAATTCTCTATATATGAGCTCGAGGGGCAAGAAGATCAGGTACGAAGGGGACATGGGACTATTTGGAGAAAACAACAGTGTGAATCCAAAAGCGTGGAGCATGCAGGATTCGCAGCATGGTTGCTCTTACCGTTGGCTCCGGAGCAGCTTAGTTGGCAGTTGCTTCCTCTCAGACTGCACGAGATAGGTGTGAGGGGCCGGTAGCCCGTGTGAACGAGAATAACCCTGTTGGCTCCGGAAGCTGCACGGTGCACGCCTCACCGAAATACATGTTTAAATTCGTCTGGCTGTCATCGCACTTCTTGGCTCTTGTGGCTGTGATCGCACTTCTTGGCTCTTGCAGCTCAGGCACTGAATATTTTCCTAGATACTGGCTCCAGTTGGCTCCTGTTGCAGCCTCCTGCTTCGGACCCGTTGGTCTGTCATCTTAGGATGGGTCGTCGGTGTTTTGCCATGGAAAGTCGGAGCTGCTGGCTGCTTTGCAGCCACGCTCGGCAACGATGACTCATAGTAGTGTGTACTCTACCGCGTTGCGTGGGTGGACTAACCTTTCACGGTGTTTGGCACCACGCATTGGTTACCTTTGCTTGTATATAAACTTCATTCGTCTTAATTGAAAGGCAGAGCTCCTGCCATTGTTTAAAAAAAAATCCTAGATACTGGCTCCAGTTTGTCCTGTAAAGCATGATATTTGGAGTGCCTAAATATCACACAATGCCAACATGTTCTAAACAGATCAGCAAGACACAGATATTTTACTTCAGAAATTCAGGTCCTCACGTCAAACATGTGACTGGGAGTAACTCAGTCGCAGCTACATTCCACGTAACCTTTAAAAATGCGACTCCACACGTGAGCATATCTGGGCATGTAGTACTCTCAGTAATACCTGAGGACACATCGAGCTTGTGCTCTTTTGGGTGGACTAGGTACCTTGACAACCCCAGTCCACAAACGTCCCCTGTAAAGGCCAACAGCAGCAACATCGGTGCAGCGAGTCGTCACAAACAATAGCCACGGAACACGACGTTGGGCCCGGCCATCACATCTATGAAAGAGAAATCCTCATCAAATTCCTCATTTCTTAGTCATTTGGTCTAATCGGTCACTAATTAATTCTACTTAAGGGCCCAATTTTTCCTTTATTTTAATGCGTCTTCACCTAATATGGGTATTTTATACAATACTTAGAGACACAGATGACAGAACGTTACCTCAAAAGTCAAAAACACGTGAGCATTATCGAAAAGCATACGTCCAGAACAACGAATAAATATATCACTATCCACCTGATGAATTGCTTGAATAAGCTGAAACGATATTTCCTCTATATAATCGGCAATCAGGCTTACATCTTATATTAGTTGTAACAGAAATAATAGTTTCCTCACATAACCCTTTCAGCTCAAAATTGAAGCTACAACACCCAGACATTCATAGGAGATAACACAAGGAAACCAAACTCCCAATGAGAACCACACAACAACCCAATGCTACCCCAACAAGCCAACGGCCTAATTCTTGGAGATTCGTCCTTCTCAGGTCTCCATCCGCAACCTTTTGGAAGGTGTGCTGTCGCTAGCTCCTACCACCTCGATTTTTCCATTGCCTTCTACAATAGTTTCTACGGTGCTATTGTGTTGGCCCCCAAAGGTCCATCCAGGAAAATCTGATCCTAGAAATAAAGAAGTTGGTGTGGTTCTGTAGAATGCAAGGGGGACCTGTTTTATCCGCCGACGTACCTACAATTCAAAATTGAAAGACTGGTGAATTTTTCTGGAAAATTCCTAGTTATAATTAATAATGGACATGACAACAGATAATATGCAAATTCAGCTCTGGTTTGAACTTCTACAGAGAGAAGTCAAAGAAAGGAGATGGGTTCTAGCAGACACAAATTTAGACTATCAGACACCATCTAGCAATAGTCCGTATTTATGCATAAACCAGGCAGCCTCATCTTCTACCGCATGCTAATGGCAAATGCCAAAATTCTTCACTTCCTTCAGGTTTCAAAAGAAATCTGAGGTCATGATCAAATTCCAGCAGTTTCTGCTAAAGTACCTGAAATTGCTACCGCGATCAAACCTTCCCTTTCAGCCCAATAGATGGCACAAATAACGTACTTCGTGGCACAAAAATCATTAGGTAAAAGCAGTGAAATTTACGGTATCCCTTCCCCCCCCCCCACCCCAAACACACACACAACAAAAAAAAAGAGTACCAGACATCACAAATACATTAACTTTCACAACCGGACAAATTACCCCCCTTGACTATTCCAAAGTGGTTTTGCTGACGTGGCAGTGAGGCCCACATGTTAGGTGGTCTCTCTCTTCTTTCCCTCTCTACATGTGCCACCACCGCCTCCCTCATGAACACTTGCGAGCAACCGGAGATGCAACACCGTCACACGCCTCTGCCATGACTTCCCGTGCAGAGCTTGGAAGCTAGGCCGCATCCCACCAGGTGGAGAGAGAGAAGAGGGAGATGGGAGCTCGGCCACATCCTGCCATGGCCACGTAGATACGAGGAAGAAGCGCACTAGTGAACTGAGGAAGAAGAGCCCACGTCAGATGAGCTGGCCCATGCCGCCTTGAGGGCTTGTTTGGAAGCTCATGTATCCACCTCAATCCATGTGTGTGGGAGTGGTTTGATGTGGAATTTAGTTTAAAATCCACACCAAACCACTCCCACACACATGGATTGAGGTGGATACATGGGCTTCCAAACAAGGCTTGAGGAGAGAGAGGGAGGTGGAAGTGTTGCACAGAGGGAGAAGGCAGCAGACGTGCAGCATCGCAGGGAGAGAGAGACGAAGGTTAGAGATATGACCCAATATAGATGACATGGCTAAAACGAGGGATAGAGACATGACCCAATATAGATGACATGGCTAAAAAAACTGATGGCATGTATCACATGCCACGTATATGCCATGCCAGCCAAAACCACCTTCGAAACCACGTAATTTGTGTGGTTTTGAGAGATGAGGGATGTATATTGTTTGGTACTCAAGTTCATTTTTTTAAATCTCAGCGACAAGTTCCAGGGGGGAGGATGCAAATGGCATTGATTCAAGTATAAATGCACGAGGTGAAAAGTACTAAGGCAGTGAAGGTGTACCTCGTCCCTGAAAACTGTTGCATAGGAACCTGAACTGAAGTCCGTTATTTTCATCTCAGTAGTTTTGGCCCGGACAGTGAGATCCTCCTCAAGTGATGCGACAAATCTAAGAGTACCACGAGAAAATGAGCACACAACAAAGAAAACTGCGTAGCAATCAGGACAGCAAGTTACTTTCCTATTACCTAGAAACTGCGGGAGAGTAATGATGGTGGAGCGTGTCTATTTCCCACAAAGAATTTCCTACACACAAACAAATATAACACATGATACAGAGGAATCAGTTCACAAAAAAGTCATAAATGAATGTGTTATTGGCATAAATATGTAAACATGCAAGCATATCAACTTGCAGTTGCATCCATAAGTTATTATGGATGTAACTTCAGGCTGTAATTTAGAACTTGTCGTTATCTAACCATGGCTGATAAATCATAATATATAATAGTCATTTAGTTTGGTCCAAAAATGTCATATCAGACGACATAGAATCAACCAAGGGTCATTTCATTTAAGTTCCCACCAGACAACCTGGATATTTTATAGCATAGGGCATAAACAGTGCTGAAAGCTCTCAAAAAGGTGGGGGTCCAAGCAAGAGAATTTATATCAGTCCACCAATAAAATTTTAAATACTAAAGCTCATACAATACCGATTTTGATAGTAAACATGCTTCCTCTAAAGTTTTTTTACTCAAAAATAATGAATCAAAACTCAAAAGACAGAAAATTACATCAGCATCATAAAGCAATGAGCCAAAAGAATGAAGCTACATTTCTTCTTTAAAGAAAAGTATAGGTTCTATAATTAATTTTTCAAGGTAGGTTGATTAGGTCAGTATATACCAAAAAAAGGGATGAAGTTTACAGTTCTACTGCTTTCTATTTCAGAGTTATAATTCTTCCTATTTCAGTCTCATTATCGTGAAATCCTTAATCTGACCATCAAGTTAAAAAAAAACATGCTTGGGAATTGACAGTAGTGTAACTTGAGCTCAAAGAAAGATTTTTAGGTGACTGCTTGTCACTCAGGACTGCAAGGAAAACAACCGAAGAAAAAGAAAAGGATGAGATAACATCTGTTTGATATGATGAAATACTTACGCATTGCACCAGACTTTGCAGGGTCTGCCTCATTATTGTTAAAAGGATCAGCACCAATCTTCTTAGATTGACTAGCTTCTCCTGTGGCATTGCTATCACTCTCATCAACCTCCTGAAAGGAATTCCATAGCATAAAAATTAGCTTGTGAAACAACAAAAGGAAGATTGCACGGCTGAATATGCTACCAATGTAGCTCAAAATCTGCCCAGTGGACAGTGGAGTATGCACACTTGGATCAATCAAGTGTCCTACACATCCAATACAACTATAAAAAAATGGTGTAGCAAGTAGCATACCCAATGGACCAAGAAATTAACTGAGGGATGTCTCCGCAGCAGATTATGAATTAAAGCAATAATAATAAGAGCTCCAGCTGGAGGAACTGAAAGAGCAAGTCTACTCAATCTTTTTGCAAATGCAGCAGCAAGATATGCAGGAAGATAAGAAGATTTCAGGCATGTGTCAAGAAGCTGCAAGAAAACAAGTCAAATGTCAACAGATAGCCATAACTAAATGGCAAATAAAATAATAATGCTTACAGAAAGATAAAAACAAAATCTATTTCAAGATTCAGCAGCACGTATTATGGATATTTGCTCCTTTTCAATCATAAGTGTTGTCCACAACTAGACCAGCAGTGGACACGAACTCAAAGGTGTTTCCCACGGTTTTCAAGCATCAGGGTTAACTAATAAACTACAAGTTTAGCCTACTATAATTCGTAGGTAAATTGCACATGGATAATTCTTTCTGCCAGCTGCTAGAGCCCGCATTAAGATGGTCGTGATTGTTCGAACTGAAAAATAGTTCCAGACAAAGATGGCAAACTATCACTGTTATAGGGCCTGAATGAGATGCTCTGGAGCAGCATTTATAAAATACGAAATTGTGGATGGCTGCAGGCCTTGATATTTTTCCCATAGTGGAACTTTATGATATTTTTCAGCTCACAGAAGTTGATTCATCATAAAAAAAAAAGGGTGATCTACCATACTCGGAGAGGCACCATAATGTGGCAGTCATACTTTTTTTCACTTACTTGCAAGAACACTGACCGGTGTTTTGCCATGAAAACAGAAGGAGTCAGTAGCGCATAAAGCTTTTCATAGAATTTTGGATACTCCAGACCGTGTTGTGTCATAAGAATGAAAAGGCCACTTAAGACCATCACACTGATAACACCACCAATATCATATGATCTAGTCAAGAAATCACTGCAGCAGAAAAAAAAGAGTTATACATATGAGAAGATTTATGTCAGTGAAATGTTGAACTGATATGCAAATAATACAGAAATCGTACAACCTACCATAAGATGGAAGGGTTTGACATTGAAGGAATGACATTTTGATGAATTGAAGCAAGGACCTGCAAGGCCCCAAAAAAAATCAAGGCAGGAAACCATAGCCAACAATGAAGCACCTAACTACTGCAAAATAAAGTGAGTGCTCGTAATGTAGATTAGTGAAAGCAGACGATAAATATTTTCATCTTCCTAAGTACTTATATTGTTACCATACCACAATGTGCTAGACTGCGCATAGGATTAGAAAATCATTGCAGCAAGGGCTCATAATTCAGATACAACAGTAACCATAGTTATGTCTTTCAGGGCATGAACAGCTTTACCTCCTTGTACACATCAAGTGGTAGTGGTAACTTGAGAAAAGACAGCCATGCTTTGGTGAACTTCAATTTTAGTTTTTTCTTGATGTAAGTAGAAGTGTCCTAAATAATTCCATCAGTTAATACCCAGAAAATTTGAGCTTAAGCTCAAAAAATGCCAGTTTATTTGTGGTATATATGATGAAGTACCTTGGAAGAGTCCTTTTCTCCTTTAGAAGACGGCCCTTCATCAAAAGTACAAAACCAAAAGGTAAGAGTAAGAACACTAATCACACATTAGCGCATATACATACGTGGGCTCATAAAAGCATAATATTAAAGCCATTTTATAATTTAAATGAGAATAATTTTGTAGGTTCACAGGAATACATGAAATTACTATTGTAAATGAGAGGAAAGCTTATACTGAAATTTGGCTTATGCTGATGCTTATGCTGAAATGTTGTGAGAGAAAAATATTGTTCCATGGCTGAAAAATAGTGCTGAATAAGCCCAAGTGAACAGGGCCAATAAATTACTCACCAACAGTACTCCACATATCAAATGATGATTCCTTTTGAAAATCCATCGAAGGAACATGTGCCAAAAGATTGTATATGTTGTGTACAAAAATACTACTTCTGTTATGTAAGGAGAAGAACATCATAAGACATTAAAACTATACAGCTTTGAAGATGTTCAAAGGCATCAAATATAGCAACAGCCACAGGGTCACAGGGGTTGTATGGGTTCCAATCTTTCAGCTGAGAAGTAAGACAATGCATGATCATGCTTTAAATAATCCACACCAATGACCATAACCTACGGATTGACTTTCCAGAGCCAAAACTATAACACCACAAGGAACAAACCTTTGCTAAATGGCTAGAGTGCACAAGCACAGGATGAAACACAAGCAACAAATCCACGATTCCACGCTAATTGCCGAAAACCAAGAAGCTAGTACTGGAACAATAACACCTACACACAAGACTTTCCTACCCACGTTCTTTAGAAGGAAGCATGAGTTGCATGCATTTTTTGTGCATAGGTTTGTAATAATCATTAAATTTGGCACAGAAATGCAATTTTCTATGGTCTCATTGTGAGTCCAAAGTGTGAGCTTCGCTGAAGTTGTTTCTGGAAGCATTAAACTAAAGGTCTACAGCTTAAGATTTAAGACATATAGTATGTAAAAGAAAGTATACCTGTTTTCTGACCCATCACTTCCATTTTGCATGGCATCTTTTCCAGAACCTGAACAGAACAACAATGCAGTTACAAATTAGTTGAGATGTCAAACTATGCAAGCGTTTTGATGGTCAAACAAAGAAAGAACAAAAAACAAAGACTGAAGACTACCAGTGGTTTTACTGCCCAGACTGTTGGCAATCTTGTCTAAGCTAGTGTAAGTAAAGTAACTGCAGAAGCAATGGTAGGGTGAAAATAAGTACATATTGAGAAAAATGCCAGTAATACAATTGAAAAATTGAGCACATCCTACCAAACATCAGTGTTTTTGAAGTACTTTGATCCAAGCAACTCTAACAACGTATCAATGGGATCAGCAGCATGAACCTGTAGAAAGAATGGGAACAGATAAGAGCAAACCCTAGAGTAATAAACAGGAGACACATAGTCGCTAATATTGAGTTGGCAGCACGGTTACTTGAGTAGAAACAAACAGAGATTTATATCAATTAAGAAACAAGCTCAACTCTGACGCAACACAAACCTCCCCAGCAATAAGGGGAAACTATACATTTCTAAGGCAAAAACCGAACATCTGTAATGCCATAATTGAAGAGAAACTCACGACAGCGTAGAGAAACTTGTGGTAAATTGCCGATTGGAACTTCCCGTCCTTCCCCAGCTTCACGAAATCCATGAGAGCATCCAGCGCTACATCCTATACAGCACAAAAGGTACGCGACTAAGAGTAAAGCCAAATTGTTTGTTCAACTATTTACTCGACACACCCAGAGAAGATGCTAGTAATGCTATCCAAGTTCACCCTGATTGCGTCATCGCTGTGTGGAGACACGCTGAGCTCCACCAGCGCAGCAACGAGCTCGTCGAACCGCTGCCGCAGCCAGGTTCCAAACACGAGCTCGGGGTCGCTGCCAGCATCCCCCGCGGTGGCTGCCGCAGAGGCGGAAGGGATGGATGGGATGAGTGGTACGAAGAAGGACTGGAGCGAGATGAGCGCCTCGAGAGCGAGGTCCAGCGGCGCGGTGGGGGAGAGGAGCGCGAGGAGGGCGGGGGCGTGGTTGAGGTGGGCGCGCGACGAAAGGAGCTCGGTTCCCAGCTTCTTCACCTCATCTAGGGTTAGGGTCCCGCCTCTGGAACGCCGCTTCTTAGAGGCAGACACGGTCGCCGTTGAAGACGACGATGTCGCCATGGCGGGAGGGGTGGGAAGCGGCGGCGGCGGGGAGGCAGGGGGGAGGAGGTGAGTTCTGGGGTTTATGGACGTAGGTGCGGCTTGTCAGTCCGGCCTGTGTAGAAAAAGCTAAACTACGCGCGCGTCCAGTATGAATGAAGTGGCCCAATGGAGGCCCGTCTAGCGATAGCTGACGCACGGCCAGACTACAGAATTTGGAACGCGGCACAGCTCCCTGTATTTTCCGTACTCCGTACTCCGTAGACGACGAGTCCTCGTCTATATCCATAAAAAGAAGCATGCTCGATGAAACAAGCAGTAATCGACCATGCATCCATGGTGATAGCTACCGGATAGTGTGAGTGAAGTTTACTGATTTTATCCAATCGAAAATGGAACTGTGGTGTTTAGCTGTTCGTGCGTCTTTGGTGAGATCTTATCGTCTAGAGGTTCAAAGAAAGCATGCAAATGAAAAACGTTGAGTTCCTTTAAAGAAATATATTGAATCGCCATAATTGATGCTGTTGTGGCTATATCCCTGGATCAGCCTTAACAGCTCTGCTCATTCAAAGAGTAATTCCATCTGCACCTATGCAACCGAGTGATCCATCCAAATCCTAAACTGGTGCTGTGATGCAATTTAATGCTTGGCTTACCATGCAGCTAAGCTGCACATCCAGGTAAAACATCTAAGAAGCAAAAGAGACAGAGCTTGAATCTTCTTTGTTCCGATGAGATGCATAGCAATAGCGAAGTTTTAGCAACAGCAAAAGCGTCAAGAAAGTGCAGCTATTTGCTTGTCTTACAGATGAACCTTATCACTTATTCACTTATCAGTCAAGTCAGCGATTAACATTGGAACCTATGTTAAGCAGTCACGAGTCATATTGGGGTACAAACGAAATTAGCCTGCCGAAGTTGGCATCAGAAAAAACTATACACTAAATAAAAAAGGTTAGGGGGCCTACCTTTTGACTAATTCTAAATTAAAATACATGGAACCTTTTTTATGTATCAGTGATCTCGCATCCTTTTCTTGACTCTCAGCATGCTTTATCGCCTTAACGGTGCGACCATGAAAGACTGCAAAATGAATACTACTAATTAAGATGAAGACACAGCAACAACAGCATGCCGGAAACCAGCTTAACCTCATACCGTTTGAACTGAGTGTAGGATATCGTACCTGCAATTTTGTGGCACCCGCCAAGCAGATATCTGCAATCTTTTCAAATTTGGGGGCAAGGACAAATAACTCCTCCAATCCTCCATCATAATCCTAAGATCATGAATCTTGCTTCGCAACCCAATGCAACAGTTAGTTAGCATGCATAGTGCAGACTTCGTTCAGATCTCTGCTTGGTTCACAGAACCCTCCAAAGTACTTTGTACTCAGAAACTTAATTGTCAATCCAATGTCTACAATGTAAGGATCATGCTTTATAGCATTGAATACATCCTGATCATGATAGCCAGGATACCTCAATCTTGACGAATACCAGAAACTGTAAAACTCTATGCTTCTTTCATTTGATTTCACATAGCTGAAGCCTCCAATAGCAATATTTCTCAAGTCAGTTGCATTCCTGACATAGTGATCGCATGCAATCTGAAAGTCTACATCAGGATAGAAATGTGGGAACGGATTGCGAAACCACATAATGTCTGCATCCTGGTTTTCAATGAAAACGAAAGAAAGATAAATAAGACTACCAAATTACTTTCATTTCACATATTCAATAATGCATGGGGTCATATTTCACAAACAAACGACACCTGAATCTTTCTCATTTGCAAAATGGGAATAACTAGTCATCAAGATAAGTTATTGTATTGCAGAATTTACCGAGAATATGAAGTTGTAACCTTTTTCAAGAACCAGCCGCAAGAAATCTAGCCTTCTCCACATCATTTCAAGATATCCTAAAGTCAGGAACCTCTTCTCTTCAGAGAAATCCACACCCTCGGTTCCCAGAGCAAAGCAGTAGGGATGGATTTTGACACATTGCTCGTATGCTTTCCAATCAAATGCTACAATTACAAGGTGTTTCAACAGCAAATTTGTTCTGACACCAGAACGGAAACTATGGATGAAAAGGTCTATCACTGATCCAGGAGAAGCCCATGCAGCATTAAGGCTCTGTTCGGCTGCTCTAATAAGTCGGCTTATCAGCCATGGTACAGTGTTTTTCTCTCCCAACAAATCAGCCGTACAAATCAGCACAAACGGCTTATGGACGATGGGTACGGTGTCTCTGTGTGCTACCCGTCGGCCAGGCCAACCCTAGCTAGGTACCCACGGTGCACTACATACATACAAAATGCGACAACAAGTGTAGTCAAGATAAGTGTATTGTCTCGCATTGAAGCCTTCTTTAGGACTCGCTCAAGTTTGAGATCTTCACTGTCCTATAAAGATCATTATATATTAATTGGAAACCAATAAATAAATGAGCAAAGTGACTTATCCACTGGCTATAAAAATCAGCAATGCAAAACTAAAACAAAACAGATCTTCTGAGAGAGATAAGTAGCAAGACTTCAGCATGATCACTACTTAGTAAGTTCTCATAAGCCAAGTTCACCATTTCATTTGCCATTACAATCAGCATTTTCCATGTGAACAACCAACATCAGTTTGTGATTAGCTGGAAGCCGAGCACAGCTACTACATATAAGCTTCGCAGCATGCTGTTGCTTGTTTGGCCAATCCAGGTTGGGAAAACATCATCAATCCATTTTTTTTTTTTTTTGCGAAGGCATCAATCCGTACTTTAAAAAGAGTGAATGACAAAAATGACCAGCAGCAAACATTAATAAACTTAGAGTCATTTAGCAAGATTCAAATAAAGTATCTAGAATTAAAAAATGTTCCAAGACACAGTAATTTTATTCCAGACGGATATACAGTCGAACTGACACCGAAAAGGCGAAAATACAGTAGAATGAGATGAGTATTGTATCGGTCTTCCATTTTTCGATCTATGGCATCAGAAGGGGTTAGTTTAGATGGAGGAAGCATGTTTCGTTAAAAAATCAACATGCTCATGTACACTTTTAATGTACTAGCCGATCTAAAACCACGGCCAACAGATTTGAGTCGCCGCTCTCTCCTCTCTTGCAGAGAACTGGTTTCAGTTGCTTCATCCCAAGGTAAGCCTTCTGTTTCCAAGACATCAAGTGAACAAACATATGGCACAACCGCACAACCACGAACTTCAATTGTCCAATAACTCAGAATGTCAATGTCACTATGCTTAAGAACTCTCAATCATACAGAACAGTGAAACACCAAATCATCAGCATTAATAGAAGGTAGAAGCAAGCGGGTTCACCAGATCGTCGCCTTCGGCGCCCTCCTCCTGGGATGCGGCGAACGAGGGCAGCGAGTCCCACCCCCAGGAAGCCCCCAGCGAGCCCCAGACGGCGGCGCGGTATAGCACCGCGAAGGGCAGCGCGACGAGGGTGGCAAGGAAGAGAGCGGCACCGGATCTTCGGAGCGCGAGCCTCGGGAGGCCACGCGAGCGCGCGGCGGAAGGGGGCCTGCCCATCAGGGCTTTGCGTGCTGGACTGCCCATGTCGGGCCGGGAGAGAAAGGACTACCGTCGTTCAGTGGAGCGCTCTAGTGCCGTTGCAGTTTGCGGAAGTGAGATTGTGAGAGCAACTCCAACAGTTTCTCATCCCTCCTCCCCATCCTTCTTTTTTTTTTTTTGGCAAATTGAGAAAAAACAACCTACAACAGATTCCCATCCCTCCTCCCCATCTTTGGCAAGTTCGGAAAAACGCCTCCCCAGCACGCATATATGCGCGCGGGATACGACTTCGCATCGCGATTCTACACGCGCCGCCGGCCTTCTTCTCGCGCGTGCAGGGCTTCTTCCCTTCCCGCGCGAAGGGCTTCGTCAAGCGACGGTGTTCCACACGCGAAGTCGAGTCGTCCAGGAGAGACCACGTCGGCGATCCACGCTCCAGGGTATTCCACGCCGGCAACGATCCACATCTTCGACGGAGGCGGCTCCTAGGGTTGCGGTATGGACCACTCATCCAATTCGATTCTGCCGCGCCGGTAGGGTTCAGATAGGGTTTAGTGTTGCGGCATGGTGCTTTGCCTGATTGCTGCGCTGATGGCCGAGAAGACCGTACCAGATAGCAAAAGTAGACCGGCTTATGAATGCGGCAACAGAGATTGCTACTCACATGGGAACTTGCATGGTCGTGTTGATTTTGTACTCTGTTGAATGCTACCTCGAGACAGAGATTGCTACTGCTACTCTGCAAGTCTGATAGCTTCTACTGCTATAGCTGATAGTTGAAGTAAAAAGTTCACTGAATTATTGTCGAGGTGCGTTTATGCATCAGTACTATTTTGTTTGTATTTTTAATTTTTATATATGATTGTACGCTGTGCTTCTGTGCTTTCTTCTCCTACGTACTGCATGGTACTGGCCGACAGATGTCACACAGAAGATCTGCAGATGCCTGCTAGCTGTCAGACTGTTCGCTTGCTCGTAAACGATCGTAAATTTCTAGCCAGGAACAGTGTTTTTCTCTCACATCAAATCAGCCAACAGTAAATAATCCACGATACGATACGGCCTTCCGAACAGGCTGTGTGCTCTTTGTCTCATGCCGCTGAAGACTCCCTTTTCATTTATTTTATCTTAGTTTAATGCACACATCAGTTGTATATTTATGACGTACTATTTGAAGAGTTAATTTGTAATTCTTCTTTATTTGTAGATTCATTCAAATGGAAGGAGGCGGATTTTGGACAGGCTTTTTGATGGGAGATGATGCTCATATTGCTGGTTTGGATGACCTCTCGTTACCGATGACACAAGAAACTCTGATAAATCATGATCTTACTTTTCAAGCTGAACAACTTGGCGTGCAAGTGCAGCCAAGTCAAGGTGTTGAGCGCCGTCGTACAACAAAGGGATTGGCTAAGAGGACGAAGAATTTTGATCCAAAGGAGGATCTAATTGTCTGCTCAGCTTGGTTGAACGTGAGCAAAGATCCCATTAATGGGGCCAATCAATCTCGTGGCACGTTTTGGAAGAGAGTTCATGCATACTTTGAGAAGAACAAAAAAAAACAGCTGTCAGGACAGAGAGTTCCCTTATGCATAGGTGGCTGACAAGTCAATATCAAGTGAACAAGTTTTGTGCATGCCACGAGTCAATTGAGCGTAGGAATAAAAGTGGAAAAACTATCCAAGACAAGGTTTGTTTTGCACCTTTTTGTATTTGGTTTATTTTAAAACATATATTCATGGCCTTATTTAACATGTGCAGATATCAGACGCTTTGGAGCTGTACAAGGAATTAGACAAGGAGAAGAAGTCATTTAGTCTCTCCAATGCGAACATACTCATCTGTAGCATCAGCGGGAACCTCATATGTGAGCATACAAAATGCAGCAGTGACTTTTTGGAAGCAACTTAATCCAAGTACGTTGGCCGCATTTCTTTTTTGCACAAAGTAATCATCATGTGACTCAACATCATTCATTATGCGTAGGAAAAGCTCCCTACTCATCCTGTACCTGAAGAAAAATAAACAAAAGTTTAATAACACATATAATACTTAAGTGCATAGTACGGGGCAATCAAAGGTGAATGACCACAAACCTCCGACGAAATAAATGTGGTCCGTACGTTGGATTATCCGCCAAATAATATTGAAACATCATTCGATGGCCGCCTTCTCTATCTCGATAAATAACAGCATGGCCAGGGACAGAACCACCAGGTCTTCGTTTATGACCCGAAAACGTTTGGACAATTACAGCAGCTGCGATGATGAAATAATCATCGTCGTCTGAAGATGAATCATCCTCCAATTCTCTTTGGAGAAGTGATTTGACACCACTCATGACGTCGCCTGGAAATGACAATTGTACAACATCAATCAATCTGTACATAGCACCCTGACCATTCCCAAAACACTCAAGTACTGTGTACCTGATGGATGGCCAAGGATGGCGCCCTGCAGCTCCTGCCGGATGGCGACCAGGAGACCTGACGACGTCCACGACGACCTGATCACGGCGCCCCAAGATGGAGCCACGACACGCAGGGAGAAGTACCAGCGATGGAGAAGTACCTGGTGGCCGCCTGGCAGGACACAAGTACCAGCGATGGACTGCAGGGAGGAGACAAGACCGGTCAGGAAGGATCTGCCGCCGTCAAGGAGTCGCGACACGAAGGAGATGGCGGCGATGTTTTGGCGCGACGACGCAAGTAAAAATTCACGCGGAAAGGCCTTCATCCCACGGCAAAAACCCAGCTCATGGGCCCAACTTTTCAGATTGGCAAGTGAAATTTGGCAAACTATTGGAGATTGATCTTTTTTTCCTTTGGCAAAAACATTTGGGGAGTTGCCAAACTACAAGATTTGGGAAACAAAAAATTCCAAACTGTTGGGGTTGCTCTGAGAACCATAGGAAATACTAGTCAGCCTGCTCGTTTGGTCGAGCTTGTTCGTCGTTGGTTCGTGAAGAAATATCGCTGATTGGTTTGGTGTGAGAGAAAAATATTATTCTAGCTAAAATTTTACAATCGTTTACGACGAGCCCAAGCCAGCCGAACAGGCTAACTATGTGGTAGTGCAAGCTACATCCCACGTGACAGGCCGGGAGCAACATGAAAAACATGCCATGCCGGTGAGACGGAAGACGGAACCGCATGCTCTAATCTCTCGTCCGAAGCCCCAACTGCAGCATGGGATTACACGAACAGTGAAACAGAGACACTAAAAACAAACTTGATTCCATTTATACGAGTAGACAACAAAATGATTTGTCCATTAGCTTCCGCTGACAAGTTATTTGTGCGCACTACAGCTCCATTTCAGTTTCACCCGTAGCCGCATGGCTTCCTACAAATTCATTGCATCCCCCTATACCATTTTCCGTAGATTCTGGCAAATGCAAGAGAAAAGGAGCCTTTGAGCATCAATTCCAATCTCACTTCTTTTGCTTCTCATCGTTGGGGTCATCAAGCTTCCTCTTGAAGATTTCGGAATTGCGAAGCCTCTCCCTGGATTCATGCGCCGTCGGTATCCTCCTATTGTGTCTGTCGCCCTGGACCAAATGACAAAGGACATCACTTATAAGTATAAATGAGCAGAAATTTCATGATGCTAACATGTACAGATCATTGCACTGTACCATTCCGATTGAGCCTCTCTTGTTCCCATGGTGGTCATCCTTCTCTTTAGCAGCAGGAGGAGAGATGAGCTTCCAAGCTCTCTCGATGAACTTGAAACTCTCGATATCACCATTCCTGATGCCTGCTTCTAGCTGCAAGGGAAGAAAGCATCTCAGTACAAAAAAGAAGCAACTTGCTTGAATGATTGTAAGGAACCTCATCCACTGACCTGAATATGTAAAATGCAGATAAAGATGCTAGCAATAGGTAACCAGCTCTCATCAGGTGACAGCGATAAGTTAGTTCTGAAAAGGAATATCAGTGTTTATCAGTGAACTTGGAAGGCATTATGAACTCAATCTCCAACACAGGGATCAGATAAAACAGCAAAATTTTCTTCTTCTTTTTTATGAGTAACCAGAAACATTTGTGCCCTGTGGAACAGTTAGTATTACAGAACAAGAGCGATCCATACATGGTACACGGAAATGAGAATTACAACACACAACAAAATATTATTCCATTGATAGTTTAAGTAATTTAGCACTTCAATTCGTTCAGAAGAATCCACTGAACAGGTGCAAAACATTATATACTACTAAAATTAAAGTAGATAGAGGACACTGGGCTGCCAGCAATACCAAGGCACTGCAGAACAGTTCACCTTCAGCATAATCATTGCTTTGATAACTTAGGCCATAATCGCAAACACTATCAGTCAGCTTTTGCGAATTCTACAGATTGAATAGCACATATAAGTATTTTCCCAGCAAAAGATGCTCCTTGGACAGCAACAGTCCCAGACAACTAGCAATAGACGGATGTAAAGCTACACAAGCTTGCAGAAGCAAGTCTGAAGTAAACCAACATACCAGAACGCAAAATCAACTGAGCCAAGCATAAGAAAGGCAACATAAATTGGTCTCTAAGGATTCAGAATTACAAACCACCTAAGGTACGGAGCCAAGTAGACGGCAGCGTAGACCAGATACCGCCGCCTCCCGCTGTCCAGCCACGCAAAGATCCAGCTCTAGTTGCACGAAGAAAAGACCGAAAAATCATTCAATGAAATCAAGGTAAAAATGGAGAGGAAGAGCACTGGACCCTTCGGCCTCGCTCACCAGCCAGTTGAAGTAAGGCAGGAAGGAGATGATCCCCATCACGGCCATCCTCGTGTCCGTCGCGCCAAAGCCAAACTCCCCTTCCTCCTCCAACTCCTCGCCCGCCTCCCCTCGGGGCCTTGGAGGGGGCAGCACGAGCGAGGCGAGCACGCAGGCGCCGATGGCGGCCGCGAACGGCGCGTCCTGCTGCAGGTCCGCGCGGCAGGCTAGCGCCCGCCGCCTGCGCCAGGGGAGGAGCGGGTTCGCCCCACGGGCGCCTCCATGGGAGGCACCCAGGGGACAGGCGACGCGCGGGAAGCGGCGGAGGGGAGGCCGAAGGGAGGCGGCGGTGGCGGCGAGCATCGGGGTTGGGGTCGCGGGGAACAGCGGCTGCGAGCAAGCAGAGGGTTGGTACTGGTAACTAGCAGGACAGCCATTTCCGCCTTTGCCGAGCCGGAATTTACTCTTGAGTGAAGCGACACGTATGCAAATCGGTTGCAGGATAAATAGATTTATAAAGTTATCTTAAATCAAATTCTTTAAACTTTGACAGAATTTTTTAGAAAAAGTCGATAAGATTTGTATCAGATTAGTATATTAGATTTATCATAGAATATGATTTTCATAATATGCTCTTTTTATGTTATATATGTTATTATTATTTTCTATAAAGTTAGTCAAATTTAATAGCATGGATTCTAGTAATTGATTTATTCAATGACAGAGGGAGTAACATTTTGCAGGGTAAAAGGTCTTAATATGGCTAGAGAAAGTTGAATAGCTTATTTAAAATTCTACAAATCAACTAAAGCAATTTGATTCGTAAGACTAATAGCGAAATGCAAACTTGCTTTAGCTCTACAAGGGTTGTAAGCCACCTATTCAACAATTCTAGTTACAATGATTACTAGACACACAACTTACTATGATACTACTCACTAAGAACTCTCAATCTTGCTCCACTAAAGAGCTCCATTAGATAAACTTAAATAACAAATCAAGCTCTCAATTCTAATTATACTAAAGAGCTTGTTACAACTAGTTTGTAAGAATATAAAAGAGTGAGTATGGTGATTATACCGCCATATAGAGGGATGAACCAATCACAAGATGAATATTAAATCAATTACCGGGAGAATACCAAATAGCAAGAGACAACCAATTTTCTCTCGAGGTTCACGTGCTTGCCAACACGCTACGTCCCCGTTGTATCGACCAACACTTGGTGGTTCGACGGCTAAGAGGTGTTGCACGAACCTCATCCACACAATTGGACACCGCAAGAACCTACCCACAAGTGAGATAACTCAATGACACGAGCAATCCACTAGAGTTACCTTTCGGCGTTCCGCCGGGAAGGTACAAATCATCTCACAATCACAGGAGATGGCCACGAACAATAACCAACTCGTGCCAATCCTCCATTGCTGCACCAAACCGTCTAGGTGGTGCCAACCACCAAGAGCAACAAGCGAAATCCGCAGCAAAACATGAATATCAAGTGCCTCTAGATGCAATCACTCAAGCAATGCACTTGGATTCTCTCCCAATCTCACAAAAATGATGAATCAATGATGGAGATGAGTAGGAGGTGTTTGGTTAAGCTCATAAGGTTGTTATGTCAATAAAAATAACCAAGAGAGTGAGATTGAGCCGACCATGGGGTTTAAATAAAGCCCCCATGAAATAGAGTCGTTGTACCTTTTCACTGGACACAACGCGGGATGACCGGATGCTCAGGTCATATTGACCGGACGCAACACCGGACGCACCGGTCGTGAATACCGGACGTGTCCGGTCGCCATACCGGACTCGTCCGATAGCTACAAACCGCCACGTGTCCCACAGTTGCCACCAATGGCTCTCTGACATGTTCAATCGGACGCACTGTTCAAAATGACCGGGCGCAGAGCCACTGCGTCCGGTCGAGTCCAGTAAGCCCACAGGGCCGACCGGACGCGTCTGTTAGAAACCGATCGGACGCTGAGCCTCAGCGTCCGGCCGAGTACAGTAAGCACCCACGGTCGACCGGACGTGTCCGGTCACTCCGGACCGGACGTAGCCAACGTCCGATCAACTGTCTCACCGAACACCGATTTTGCTGATTCACACCGGACGTGTCCGGTCACCATACCGGACGCGTCCGGTCACTCTGTGACCAGCGCGACTAACTCCTTTTCACCTCTAAATTCTTCACCCTTGCTCAAATGTGCCAACCATCAAGTGTATCACCTTGTGCACATGTGTTAGCATATTTTCACAAATATTTTTTCAAGGGTGTTAGCACTCCACTAGATTCTAAATGCATATGCAATGAGTTAGAGCATCTAGTGGTACTTTGATAACCGTATTTCAATACGAGTTTCACCACTCTTAATAGTACGATTATCTAACCTAAATGTGATCACACTCGCTAAGTGTCTTGATCACCGAAACAAAAAGGCTCATACTATTTATACATTTGCCTTGAGCATTTTGTTTTTCTCTTTCTTCTTTTTCAAGTTCAAGCCTTTGATCATCGCCATGCCATCACCAATGTCATGATCTTCGTCATTGCTTCATCACTTGGAGTAGTGCTACCTTTCTTATAATCACCTTGACAAACTAGGTTAGCACTTAGGGTTTCATCAATTAACCAAAACCAAACTAGAGCTTTCAATCTCTCCCTTTTTGGTAATTGATGACAACCCTTATACAAAGATATGAATTAAGGTTCATTTGAATCCATGTTGCTTGCCCAAACATATTTACCAAGTGTAAAGGATATGGACAAGTTTCATGAACTCCATATGGTAGCAATTGCTCCCTCTACATATGTGCTAAAAGTTAAGAGTTTGGATTGTAGCTTGCACATATGCTTAGATAGGAAATATAGGAGTCAATTTCTACCAAATAATGCTAAGGTATAAGAGATGGACCTTTGAAGCGTGATATCAATCGAAGTGCACCAATATACCATTTTTAGCACCATTTGTAACTAGTCATACATAAAAACTAGGATACCCCATGAGATCAACATTACAAGCAAAGGTCTAGTTACTTTGGCTTGATACCACTTGGAAATACTACTTTGGAAATGAAAATCATTAGATAGCCTATACATACTAGATTTTTATTTCATCATTCAAGCCTATAACTAACATACACCACACAAGCATGGATATTGAAATTTAAAACTTGTGTCATGCAAGTAAATATGAAATGCACATTCAAATGCAACATACAAGTTTATGAGCTTGCTCCCCCTACTTGTGTGCTCAAAATTTTAATTGATCCCCTTCCTTTGTCATATCTCTCCCCCTATATCAATTTCTCCCCTTTTGTTGTCCTTTCACTATCTTTATACACTATTTCTCCCTTTGTCATCAATGACCACAAAGGCTTAAAGTATAGATAGGTTAGGATTATCAATGTCAACAATTAGCACAAAAGGTGAGCTCAAATTATAGATAGGTTGTGGTGAAACCATGTGAAATGAGGATCATTTTTCAATTTAGTTCAATCTAGAGTACTTGCAAAAGATATTTAACTCGGTTTGATCCAAGGACAAGCTTCTTCACACCTCCAATAAGGTTTATCTTGTACCATGTTGAGTTAAACACTTATAGCTTATTTTCTAGATAAAACACTAGGTTTACAAAGACCATAAACATGTTATATGCTACCACTAGATCATTTCAAACATAAAAGCAATAGTGGTACCATACAAGCATCAAATTACTTTCATGAATGAGCCTATTTAAATGCGAAAGATGTCAAGATGCACTAATCATGTCCTTAGCAAGAATGAATGCCATGCCAATCAATTTATACCTTGAATTTTCTTGAATGAGAGGCATGTCATATAATGGGGGTGTATCAACACATATTGGAGAAGTCAAGTATGCTCAATTCATTACTTAGCTTGCAAAACCTCTTCTCATCAAGTGGCTTGGTGAAGATATCGGCAAATTGATCTTCGATGCCCACACTCTCAATATAAATGTTCCCTTTTTGTTAGTGATCTCTTATGAAATGATGGCAAACATCTTATATGCTTTGTTCTTGAATGTTGAACTGGGTTGTTTGTGAGCTTTGCGGCACTCTCATTGTCACATAGCAATGGTACTTGCTTGAATTTAATTCTAAAGTCACTCAAAGTAGCCTTCATCTAAAGTAATTGAGCACAACAAATACCGGCCGAAATGTACTCCGCTTCGGCGGTTGAAAGTGCTACACTATTTTGTTTCTTTGATGACCAAGACACAAATGATCTTCCCAATAGTTGACATGTGCTCTTTCTCTCAACTTTGCATCCCGCATAATCGAAGTTTGAATATCCAATTAACTCAAATCTTGCTCCTTTGGGATACCACAATCCAATATTTTGTGTATGCTTCAAGTACCTCAATATTATCTTTGTTGCCTTCAAATGACTTTCTCTTGGTGAGGCTTGAAATCTAGCACACATGCATACACTAAACATCACATCCGATCTTGATGTGGTCATATAGAGTAGGCTTCCAATCATAGACCGATACATCTTTTGATCTACCATGTTGCCACTAGCATCACTATCTAAGTTTCCACTTGTCCTATGGGTGTACTAATAGCTTTACTATCACCCATTCTAAACTTCTTGAGCATGTCCTTGATATACTTGCCTTGACTCACAAATGTACCATTCTTCATTTGCTTGATTTGAAGACCAAGGAAGTAACTAAGCTCTCCAATCATAGACATCTCAAACTCACTTGCCATCATCTTGCCAAACTCCTCACAAAAATCTTGATTTGTTGACCCAAAAATGATATCATCAACATAGATTTGCATTACAAACAAGTCATTTTCAAGTTTCTTGGTGAAGAGAGTGGTGTGAACCTTTCCCATCTTGAACCCCTTAGAGAGTAGAAAATCCCTCAATCTCTCATACCATGCTCTAGGTGCTTGTTTTAATCCATACAATGCCTTTCTCAACTTGTAAACATGGTTGGGTTTCTTTTTATCTTTAAACCGGGAGGTTGCTCAACATACACTGAAACAACCCGATTTCCGCGAAGGGAAATCCACAGAGTCGAAGTGTAATAAGACCGTTGTAGATCATATTACCCAAATACCAGTCGAATATCACATCCATACAACGATAATATCAGAGTACAAATAGTGCGGAATTACATAAATTATTACATCGCCGCATTGGCGGAATCAAAAGTAGCATTAATTTAGAACAACTTGAAGATAAGATCGCCAAACTCGAGCGTAGGAACGAACCCCTCAACCGTCAAACTCTTCAGAGCTATTCTCCTCAGTAGAACCTATGTGCCAAAATTTATCAGTATGATTTATACTGGCCACTCCCACCCTATGAGCATTGCTCTGTGGAA